CAACGCTATGGTCACTCACCTAGTCCCAATGACCAAGAGGTCGAGATGGGGACTAGGGAGTGCCTAAGGGGTCCTTATATACTAGAAGGGCTGCTTAGCAACCAAAGACAAGGCGCGAGAGCGAGGCAGTGAAGATGACAAAGGGAGAACAAAGGGCGGGAAGGAAAAGGCAAAGGCATGGCGGTCACGGGAACGTAGCATGCGGGTGTGGGAACGTATCTGCAGTGTCCAAACTGGGATGGGCTAAGAAAGGAAATGGTCCGAAAATGGAAGGTGGACGTCAAGGGGAGGGGAATGGGCGGCAAAAAGGGGCGTCTGTCCAACGTCCGTGACACCAATGACCAAGAGGTTGAGATGGGGACTAGGGAGCGCCTAAGGGGGTCCTTATATACTAGAGGGGCTGCTTAGCAACCAAGGATAAGGCACGAGAGCGAGGCAGTGAAGATGACAAAGAGAGAACAAAGGGCAAGAAAGAAAAGGCAAGGGCATGGCGATCACGGGACCGTAGCATGCGGTGGTGGGAACGTATCTGCAGTATCCAAACTGGGATGGGCTAGGAAAGGAAATGGTCCAAAAATGGAAAGTGGGCGTCAAAGGGAAGGGAGTGGGCGGCAAAAAGGGGCGCCTGTGCAACGTCCGTGAAACATATGCGGATCAACAATGAATACACCAGGCAAATTGAGAGTGCTTCCGTTCGATAACTAGCGTTGACGCTGATGGAAGGACCACATCGTGGTGGATTTGAGGCTCGGAAGCATACACGGAGGAAGGGCGGAGCTCTAGACGCGGCGCTCTAGACCTTGAGGGACATAGTACGGATGTCACCTCCACTGAGATCAGCTACCGACTTGCAAGTCAGTGGTGCGTAGGGCGCCGCCGTGACCCATACATATGGGTTCTTGCCTGCGAAATAGATCAAGATACTCTGTCCGCCGGCTTGAACACGATGCGGCTGCATCACGACAAGATATCAGACCAGGCGACTTTCGGGCAGATTTCAAGGGGCACGCCTGAGCATCGGCAGGAAAAAATGGATTGGTCTTCGCCAGGCACCAGCGAGAAAGCTAGTATGACAACCAGACATGCGGAATCGGCTTGGTGGAACATGACGGCAGCACGGCCACGGGAGGAACACCGCCAGGTTCCGGACGCACGGACGGGCCCCTGGACGTCGGTGCCACGACGCTTCACCTGGCACGTTCATGCTCCCTCCGAGCTCGAAGACAGGTCAGAGGCAGAACCAAGTACTCCCTGAGGGCCCTCTTCTCGTCCTCTTGACAACTGGGTCTTCGTAGGGTCGAGGTCCTGCCCCGAGTCCACGCTGACCGCCCTGGGAGGAAAGCCGGTCCAGCATCAGCTTGTGTTCAGAGAATGGGAGCAATGGCTTCCGCAAGACATATGTTCTCCTAAACACCGCTCACAAATAAACAAAGAAACGGGTGCTTACGACAGATGCAGATGGATATGCGTCGTGATCCCCTCCATGACCGACTCGTAGTGCCTATGCCCCGAGTTAAAGCCGGACTGTGCGGAAAGCCCCGTACCGTTGGTGTCTGGGAGGTGGGCGGAGCCGAGCCCGTCGTCTTCGAGGCTAAGCATAGTGAGCGAAGACGCTACCACACTGCGAAGCGGGAATAACGTTAACGGCAAGAAAAGGCGGCCGCCGCAGTGAGACTCTGCGAGAAGACAGGAATCTGGACGCACCTGATCGTCATAGCAAGCATGGAGAGCAATACGTCCATCGCCGCTGCATGGGCTGCGTCAGACGCGCATCCCGTTGCACATGACACAGGAGCAGAGAAAGCAAAGACTCACTGTTGAGGTCCAAGAACGCGAGCAGGGCAACAGGGACATTGGCGATGCAGGTCACGACGAGGTAGCACAGGCCTTGCATGCGCAACGCGTCACCCAAGCCCCAACGCCGCCCATCGTGCACGCGCCGGACGGCCCACAGCGTCGCGAGCAAGATCGCTGCGTCGTACAAAGATGCTGCGGGCTGTGGATTAGCTTGCGTTTCGTATATGAAACGAGGGACTGAGGGAGATAGGTACGCACTGTAGAGGTACTGGATCCCGAGGAAAGTGCTGTGCCAGGTGACGACTGCGCAGCCGTGCGACGCGGGGTCCCAGCGTGCGCGGACGGTCCAGATTGCCTCTGTGATATAGTGTTGTGCACGCGCAGGCGCATACGTCATGACTGAAGTCAACACGGTGTTTTAGCGGTGCGCGTGTGTGAGAGTCGTACGTGATATCACCAGGAAGAGCTGGCCGAGCGCTCCTATTCCAAGGAGGTATAGCGGTATGGGCATCTTGAGCGTCCGGAACATTGTCATCCTGCAAAAGGGAAGGAGCGAGCGGGGAAAGGAGACTCGTATCAGGTGCGGTTTCCGACCGGAGGAAAGGAGGGGACGCACGGTCTAGAGCAGATGATTAGGCTTGCGAGCATGCTCGCTAGGCTTCCTAGGATCTATCGTCGAGCTACAAGAGAAGGAAAATGAGGCGTCGCATTGCATGTACCCACGCACAGCGAATGTCCTGTACACAACTAACTCGTAGGTCAAGTCAGCGGTTCTTTCGACTGGATGACGCCAGAATCAGAGACGTACGGTCGCAGGCTATCTTGAGCTTGACGTGCCCAGAAATCACACTGTGTGAGCACGAACGCATGTACATTAGTTCCGGTGGTCCGAAAACGTCGTGCGGGTATGCGGACTCACAAAAACAGCAGCGCCGAGAGTGTTATATACCTCGCGAGGAGGTATGGAATGTGGACGATCCTGAACGCACGTTTGCGCATGATGAGCTCCCACTCGACGTTCCAGGTGCTAAAGAAATGCTTCCTGTCGTGAGCATAGAGCGGCATTAGCATCAGCAATACCAACAGCAATCGAGCCTGTTGCTCCAGGCTGAGACCCAAACCCAAAACCGAACCCAGGACAGACACGGGGACGTATAGGCATGCGAAGAAGGGAAGAAGCCGAGGCGACGGACGCACCCGTAGAAGCCAAGTAGGAAGACGGCGATCTGCCCGTAGAGGAAGAAGTCGTACGCGATCACCTCGGGATCCTTCCAGTTGATCATCCTGGGCTTGCGACTCCCATATACATGCGCGACACACCAAGTAGTTCCTGGTGAGGCCGGCCAGAAGTGAAGCTTGAGCAGGTGCAACAGTGCGTAATCGTGAATTGCAGTGTATTGCGACAATGCGACTGCAACACAGAAGCAAAGAGTGGACGAGGAGGGCCTCACTCCTCTAAGTGGGAGACTGGCCAGGTATGGGGCACGACGGGGGTGGCGAGACTGCAGCGTAGAGGGATATTGTCACGGCGAAGCAGGTGCAGTGTCGGGATTTCTCAGGCCAGCAGAACTTCAGAGAGAGACTGGGCGGCGATATAGTGCGGTCGCGCTAGGATTGTGAATGTGAAGCGCGTCGCGACCAAGTGAATCGGGACTGGTGGAAGGCTTGGTCGGCTGGTGTGCGCCTGTACTGCGGCATGTAGGCAGATCTCTTAAATGTACAGTGAAAAACTCGCTTAGATCATAACAGCATTGGCAGGGTCCTTGGACAGCTGGAAAGGACCAGGGACGGATTGACATCTTCGGTGACGTGTGGCCAGGACGTGACTAGAGGCCACGCGGGGATTCGTCCCCCAGCGTGGAATGGTAGCGATGAAACGTTTCCTTCGTGATTGGTTCGGTTGCGCATGCCTTCAAGTGTATGATGGCGTGTCATGGAGGGACCTCTGGTGGATTGTGTCAATGAGCGGAAGTAACATACGGCTATACCGCAATGGGAAATATAGGACTTCCGGGAATCGCCAGCTGTCAGAATCAGGGTAACAGCCGAAGAGATAGAGTAGACGTAGACCTTACGGTTTAGCGAACGAATTTAATGGTAGGGCGGCTGTGGAGGCTGCAGGGGGATACGTACGTCTCGACAGGCTTGCCAGCTAACGGCATAGGGTCAGAGATGTCTGTGAACATGGTTCCACCATACATGCGATTATAGTGTTAGCATATCCGTGCAAGTCGCCTTAGCCTAGTGGCAGCGTCAGGTTGGGAGGTAGACTCAACATCGTATGTAGCAGCTTGTTACTATAGCTCGGTCTCGTTTTGGCCGGGAAAATCGTCCACTGCCTTGCTCATCAAGCGCCAGAGAGCAATGCCGTCGAGCGCCCATTCCGTCCCGCCACATCCGGGCCGTCGCACCGTGCCGCACGGCAGTGGAATCTCACGAGGTGCACCCCGAGGGCCGAGTAGCAAGCTCAAGGCTGGGTTGCAGCCGCTGATCAACTATCAACCCCAGCTCGGTGTAGGTATGTATCGGTCTGCAGGTCGTCGTCCAGTGAGTACTGGTATTTACATTAACATATGCCTACAGGGTACACGTGTAGGCCCATCCATCGTAGCCCTAGGCGCGACTCTCGTCCTCGCGCAGAGAGCAAATGCTTAGAGCGACATAGATAGACCCTTGCCGCCTGCTCCGATGATAGTAATTAGTGTCAAATCCACTCCTGGCATTCGAGGCTAATCACGCGGGTCATTGCCCACCCCCAATGCTCCTGGAGAGGCCGCTATTACTCATCAGATTGCTTCGCATCGCGCCTGGCTCTGATGAGGCTGGAGTTACTAGACGAGCGACGAATAGATCTCGAGATACGTGATGCATCGGACCTACAGAATGCTGCTACGTTCGTCTGGTACCTTCAGATCTGGACCGCTCTTCCAACATGCTCTCCGGAAATCGCTATTCCTCCACCCGCTGCAACTGACACCCTGTCCTCGACGAGTGAGCACTGTGGATGGCTCCCTTCGGTCGGCAAGGGGTCCTCGGCCAGTGGATTATCCCCGCCAGCATAGAGTTCCGGGAATTCCCAGTCGGCAGGATCAATGGTCGCGCCTAGCGAGCCGAGAACGGGTTCACATGCAATTGAAGACAAGTTGACGCCGTGCGAAGACCGCAGAGGGTCATTGGACGCCAGGCAGACAACCTTCCTCTGGTACGCTTCTTGGAGATCGAGGAGAAAGTGGGATACGAGTATGGACGAGATCCTGCGAGGTTCAGTCACAAGACGCTTCGTACAGTGCAGGTGAGTCGTAGACACGGGGACATACGCTGTTGTGAAGAGGGAAATCACACTGGTACTCCCGCTAGCCGTGACAATCTAGAGCACCATCAGGACGGCCAATGAGGGCTGGAGACGTTGGCTACACTCACAGAGAGCTCTGTGAAAGTTAGATGTAGGGTGTTTATCAAGAGCAGCACACTGCCAAGTGGTGCCGACGTATCAGTGATAGGCGTTGTCCTGATTAGCCACGGGACCTACACGAAGTAGCGCATTCCTGGCGAAGCTCCGGCAACTCAGCATATCACAAGACGCAAAGGACAAACGTTCGACGAACCGTCACGCAACATGACGCCCATCAGACCTGTACTGTTCCAGAGCTTGAGGAGATCTCGCACTGATTGTGCGGACACTGGCAGGAGTTCGCCGGTGATAGCCACGAGCACTGCATCGACCAGGATGGCCGAAACCCGGCTAAAGACGACGACTGACCGGCGGCAACAAACGTTAGAGCCAGTCACCTTCCAACAAAGAAGGCCTACAGACACCTATAATACAACACCAAATAAGATGATATCCGAGTGCGAAGAAGGTAGTCCACAAACTCACCCATGGTCGAGAGCAGACGGGAGGGTACCAGTACAAAGGCATCCCAACTTCGGGTCCACGATGCCGAATGGACCATATGGGAACATAGTCTAAGGAGCTGAGGTCAAATTTTTTTGCGGAAGCAGACACACCAGCAATGAGGGGTATACCACATGAGTTGCAACTGGAACAATCGCGAGGACGAAGATGGCCAATGCGAGCTTCCATTGGCGAGATAGAGCGTATGCCCGCAATGACGAGAAGACTACAGACGAACCATCAGCTGGGTGGAATTGCGAATGGATTAGGCATCGAATAGTGTGTCAGACTACGCACGTGCGGTTGGAATCAGCACAAACGAATAGACGATAAGGGAGGCCAAGGCCATTCGATGGCAGCTACCAGACGCGATTGCAATCACGTTCAGCTGGTAATTGTGCAAGGAGTAAGGAGCGAACAAACACAGACTTCTGTTGAACATACCAATGTCAGACATTTCCTTTCCTCCGGAGCATAGCATCGGAAAATGGTACCTACTTTGTCAAACAAGGGGGCGGTTTTGATCATGTCGAGGATCCACCAGATAACGGTTAGGTACCGGTTCAATATGAACAGACAAACAGACAGAATGCTGGATTTTCCCGTCCAGAACAATTGCACCTCACGAGGAAGGGTGATCATCCAGTCGTACAGGACCAATGCTAGGGGCGACTGTGTAAGAGTGACATATCGGCAGGCCTCCATGGACACGCACAAGCGATCGCAACTCTGCAATACATCGCAGGCAGCCTGAAAGCCATCGAGATGCTCGTCAGCAGTGGCTTCCAATCTTACTGTGTATCTGGAACGTACATGGAGGCATAATAGGCGTCGTAATTACCCGCAGGGACCACCGCGTCGGACGGGGAATTCATGACAGAGTCGAATGCGTATCGGAGGGAGCGGCAAATCGATGACTGTCCATGGGTTCTCTTATAGTGCCAACAGACACGAATCATCTGAAACTGTGATCGCGTACACAGCACACAGCACCATTCAAGTCCGGTGGCAATGTCCCTGTATGCACGGACTTCGACTTGACATTGAAAATGGACTGGACGCCATGCACGAAGTAGCAGCGGTGCCACAGCACAATCGAGATGATCGTATTTGAAATCATCAAGGAGCGAGATAGTGTTGCCGCGAAGTGAGGTCACTTCACGTCAATGTGCACCTTGCGTTTAGCGGAGTATGAAAATCGACCATCAAGGTCGCTTTGAGGTCAGCTCAAGGTAAGTCAAGGTCGCTTCAAGGTGTGGACTCTCGGCGGCTCCAAGTATCCGCTGTCGGGCCGACTGGTACGACGCGCTTCATCTGGTCACGTGCCGGACTGCGACGCGTTCTCTCCTCGTTCCCGCCAGCCTGCTTTCTCCCATCAGCTGCACGCACTTCAACCATGTCTCTTGATGTTGTATGTTCTCTCTTGGGTCATTTAGAGCTCACCAAACCTTTATCCGGATAACTTAGATCCGTTTCCTAGGTATTTATCTTATGCATGTGTAACGTAGATGATGAGCAGCAATGCAATCTTTGGTCGAAGAGCAGAGTCCGGAAAGGCATAGAACACATACCAGGTAGTGAGTAGAAGCATCTCTCCTTTCCCATGTTAATCTACGGCTGTGCTTCCTGCGGTGCGAGAAATCTTGCACAATGCAGCTGCCAAACCTCTGAGCTTCTGCAACCCACTGCTCCCCTTCCCTCTACACCTCAGTCACGATCTACCTTCCCTCCTGGCTCTCATCACTACTCTTGTACTCCCGCGCCAAGCTCTGCATACCCCGGTAACACTCCAGGACCATCATCTGAGCCACCCATACGAGCCGGCGGCTTACAGTCCGTTTTCGGAGCATGGCTTCAATGAGAACAATTCTCAGTAGTGTATTCAGTCCGGGACGCATCTCCAATGTTTTACGACAGGCTCGCGAGGAAAGTAGATACAATGTTGACTCGTAATACCAAGACTGCAACCTTTCGCAGTACACCGAGATCCCCAGACTACCCATGCTCGCTGTGCACGCCGCCTAGCACGTGCCCACTTCAAGCTCACCTTGTGGCGCTTCAAGGTGCATCAAGGTATGAATTCCGACACCTTAAGGCGACCTTGACCTCACTTCGCGGCAACACTAGAGCGAGACCAGAGCACCATCAGCAGCGGAGTTGCGGGCCTCAGAACAAACAGCACGCCCGACCGACATCCACATGAGCGCTAGTCTCGTGACCAGACGTTCGGAGCTTTGAGCGGAAATGAAAAAACCGGGACTTTCCGCGCTCCTGAACGTCTGGTGGATCCACCCCCGTGACTCCCCGCTCGGTGACCTGTGTGACATACCGACGCCCCGTTAAGGTAATCCGACAAAGTCGGAGGGCGCCCTCGCGGCTGCGCGCTGTCCTAGTTACAAGCTTGCATACCTCCTGTACTGTGCACAATGGCTCGAGCTCTCGGTCAACAATCTCCTCCACGCACTCCAGGGCAAACTCCTCGAGAGCCTTCCTAGCGCCCTGGGGCCGTACATGATGGTGTCGTGAGGAGGATGCGCGAGGGACCTTGTACCAGTGCTCGAGAATGCGGGGAAGCTCCTCGCTGCCCATAAGAGCGCTCCGCTCATACTGGACCTTAGGGTCTGAGATGCATGGGGAGATTCATATCTACAGACTCCATAAAAGCCAAAATTGACTTAACGTGGTCGACAACGCTGGTGCGCGTGCGGGAAACCGAGAACGCAAGGCGCTCGCGCATGACCCGGGTGTTGTGGCGGTATATCGGCGTCTCGGGGCAGCTTCGATCGGATCCCAGTCGGACACGTCGGAAAGCCGGTCGCTGCTGCACTCGGACGGAGCGTAGTCTTCATCCTCCTCCTCATCTTTGAAAAGAGCTCCCCATCCATTGTGGAGCTCATCGGGTTCTGCCTCGGGTCCGCGAGGGTCCATAGGCGCGCACTAGAAGAGTTCCTCTGTCTTGCCCATACGAGAGACAGAGGATAACAGACAAATTGAGTATGGGGGACATATAGCAACTGCTCGCGAGAGTCAGAGAGATGTACCGGTTACGGGAGTATCTACGTCGAGCAGACGGTAGGCTCGGCGCAGCTCAAAGACATCGCGAGATAAGCAGGCAGGCGCGCGCGACAAGACAGCTCGGACACGTCGGGAGAGAGGCAGGAAAGTCACACAGGTCACCGAGCGGGGAGTCACGGGGGTGGATCCACCAGACGTTCAGGAGCGCGGAAAGTCCCGGTTTTTTCATTTCCGCTCAAAGCTCCGAACGTCTGGTCACGAGACTACATGAGCGCAATCATATGCATATATAAGTGCAGCGAAGCTGTACAGCTTCGTGGATGCCAAGCGTTCACGGAGTCCGCTCACTCTCGCCCGGTGTGCCAAGTCCCAACCTGGCCGGACGTAGCTGCGAGCGTTCGCAGTGAGCCCCCCTCGGCACTCTCGGTCTTCGTATGGTCGATGCCTTGCACGGAGCCCGCGCGCTGATAGCCCTGCTCAACAAACCGAGCAACGCGCGCTCAGGGCCTGCTGTCCTGGGCAGAAACGGGGGTACGTACGAGTGTAGATGGATGCGCGTCGTGAGTCGTCCCGCAGCCGACTCGTAGTGCCCGTGGCCTGATTCGGAGCCGGAGACGGACTGTGCGGAGGGCCCTGCGCCAGGCGTGGCGGGGAGATACACTGGCACGGGTCCGGGGTCGAGCTCGTCGTCTTTCAGGCTGAGCAAGGCGAGCGAGGACGCTATCACGCTACACACGGGCCACCAGACCGGGGCGGGCGGGCGGGGCCGAGCGGGATGGGTTGTCATCCGAGGGAGATCTAAGAGCGGTCGGACGCACCTGATCGTCATAGCGGGCATCGAGAGCAACACGTCCATCGCCGCTGCATGCGCGCCTCCACGTCAGCTCTGTTCCCCGCCCGCAAGAACATACAACGTGAGACGGCGGAAGACGTACTGTTGAGGTCCAGGAACGCGAGAACCGCGACGGGGACATTTGCGACACACGTCACGACAAGGTAGCACAGGCCCTGCACGCGCAACGCGTCGCCCAAGCCCCAGCGCCGCCCGTCGTGCACGCGCCGGACGGCCCACAGCGTCGCGAGCAAGATCGCTGCGTCGTATACAGATGCTGCGAGACACGGATCAGCTTGTGTTCCCCCCGTGAATAGGGAGAGAAAGACGCGCGCTGTAGAGGTACTGGATCCCGAGGAAGGTGCTGTGCCAGGCGACGACCGCACAGCCGTGCGAGGCGGGGTCCCAGCGTGCGCGGACGCTCCAGATGCCCTCTGCAGGATGGCATCATGCCGCATACAGTCGGTACAGGGTGTGAGTGGAGCGCGCTCGCGAGAGGCGTACGTGAGATCACTAGAAATAGCTGGCCGAGCCCTCCTATCCCGAGGAGATACAGCGGCGTGCGCATCTTGAGCGTCCGGAATATCGTGATTCTGCGCGAAGGGGAAGGGAGAAGAGCGGAAGACGAGAGGGAAAGATTTGATCAGGCACAGGGTTATGGCACAGGACAGCCGGGACACACTTACGGCCTGGAGCAGATGATGAGGCTCGCAAGCATGCTCGCGAGGCTGCCTAGAATCTGGAATGAGGTCTGTAAGGGAGGTGCGACAACGCGCCGACATGCGAGTAGCTACGCACCGCGAAAATCCTGTACGCGACTAGCCCGCAACGAGCGTCAGCGGATTGTACGCGGGGAAACGAAGCGGGGATTAGAGACGTACCGTCACACGCTATTTTGAGCTTGACGCGCCCTGAGATCACACTAAACGTAGGCACGGAACGCGTACATCAGCTACATGTGGATGAGACTCGCCGCATGCGGACTTACAAGAACAGTAGCGCGGACAGGGTGATGTATCGCGCGAGGAGGTATGGGATGTGCACCACCTTGAAAACACGTCTGCGGGTGATGAGGTCCCATTCGACGTTCCAGGTGCTCAAGAACTGTGTTCTGGCGCGTGAATATTAGCATCAGGGACATAGACGGCCGAGACGCACTCTCTAACGCACTCTCTAACGCAAAGTCAAACTCAAAAGAGACGCGCGCACGCGTAAGCAGGAAGACGGTGAAGCGAAGGACGCACCCGTAGAAGCCGAGGAGGAAGACGGCGATCTGCTCGTAGAGGAAGAAGTCGTACGTGATCACCTCTGGGTCTTTCCAGTCGACCATCCTGCGTCTGCCGCTCCCGTATGCATGCGCTGAGGACGGTTCGGTGCCTGATGGGACGAACGGACGTGAAGCTGGACGGGTGAGAGCGGGGATGGCAGAGGTGTTATGATGGAGCAACGGCGGTAACAAGCAGTAATGAGTGGACGAGGAATGCCTCGCTCCTCTTAGTGATCAGCAATGAGAGAAGAGAGTAATACAGGGGGCGGCAGGGTTGGGAGGACCGCAGCGTAGGGTGGTAAGTACTGTCAGGGGCAAGACAGGTGTCAGTGGCGCCTCTGTTAGGGCAGGAGAAGATAAGAGAGAGAGCGAGCGGGGAGGTAGTGCGGTCGCGTCAAGTGGGAGCTATAAATGTACGTCGCGTCGCGACGAAGAGGGTGGAGGACGGATGCTGCGGTACGGAAGGACATGTCGTAAAGATTGGGTAACAGGCTGGCTGGCGATCGCGCAGGGTAGGCAGGGACCTTGTACGGCGGAAAAGGACGAGGGCTGGGTTGACGACATGGTCGGGGCCGATGGAGTTGACCGAGACGTTGGCGAGGGCGGGGTATATGTAGACGCAACAAGAGCGGTCGTCCCTGAGCATCATAGGCGTCGACGTGGAATGATGGCCATCGAAACGTTTTCCTTTATGGGCTTGCAATTCGACGCGTATCACCGTTTAGCGTACGATGGGGGCGTCGCAGAGGGATCTGAGGTGGAATGTGTTACTGTCAATGACGATGTGATAGACGGCTATGTAGGGAAATCGGACTTGCAGGGTGAAAGCCCAAGATGAAGGGGTGGGATAAGCCATCAGAGTCTAATTGGGGAATGAATATGAATGGTAGGGCGGCTGTGGAAAGGAAGGATACGTACGACTTGACAGGCGTGACAAATGATGGCAGAGAGTAAGAGACGGGAGTCCTTGAGCGTCCTTACATATCCAAGCATGCTCGCTCCAGCGTTCGGTAGCGTAGAAGTCGTCGCTGGGAATCGGCGCCCGCAGGCGTCTCTAAGCGGCGTGACCCGACGCGACTGGACGTGACCGACGCGTGTTGGACGCGCCGCTGCCGACGGGCGTTTGTTCCGTGACTTGTCTCCCGCCACCGACCGAACATGGCCGAGCCACAGAAGCTTCGTATGCCCACCGTCGCTGGTCAGTCCTTCTCCTTCCTTCTAAGCTAACTAGCCAGACATCGCATCCTCCTAGGCTTCAAAATCGTCAAACAGATCGGTGGCGGCGGCTTCTCTACGTCAGTCTTTGTCCTTTCATCCAACAATCTCCGACTCTCGTTCACCTTGCCTCTCACAGCGTATACCAGGCCGTACACCCAGAGACCCACCGCGTCGCAGCATGCAAGGTCGTCACCATCACCCCTGACTTCTCAGATTGGCAAATGAAGGCCATCGAGAGGGAGTGCCGCGTGCACACCGCCCTCAAGCACAAACACATCCTAGAACTCCTCGGCGCTGCCAAGCTCTCCATCGAGCAGGCCGCCAGAGGCGGCTACCTCCCTGCCTTCTATCTCCTCATGGAGATCGCTGCCGGCGGCGACCTCTTCGACAAGATCCGTCGGTAGCCTACATTCACTTGCTTCATGCCGTTGCTGAACGTCACTTTCCAGTTCCCGACGTCGGCATCGACGAGGACATCTCCCATTACTACTTCTGCCAGATGATCGCCGGTCTCGTGCGCTTCGTTCCGTCCGCCTCTCTCGCCCGCGCTCACTCCTCCTGTCACAGTCATACCTCCACGAAGAAGGCGTGTGCCACAGGGACCTCAAGCCGGAGAACCTCCTGCTCGACGCCGCAGGCACCCTCAAAATCAGCGACTTTGGTCTCTGTGCCGTCTACAAGGTCAAGGAGACTGGCAAGACGCGCGTCCTCAACGAGCGGTGCGGCAGCCTGCCGTACATCGCGCCCGAGGTCTGGCATGCGTCTGTCCTCCGCTTCGCGTCCACCGTCTGACCACCCTCGAGCAGCTGCGCGGCACGGGCTCGTACGAGGCGGAGCCGATCGACGTCTGGGGCAGCGGCGTCATCCTCTTCACGATGCTCGCAGGCAGTAAGTCCACTGCCGCCCCCAATCCCTGTCGCGCTGACCGGCGACGCCCGCAGACACCCCATGGGACGAGCCGACGCGGGGCAGCGTCGAGTTCATGCAGTACATCACGGGCGAGGCGTTCAACCACCGGCCGTGGAACCGCTTCTCGGCAGACGCGCTCTGTACGTCCCTCTCTTCTCGCCTCGTCCGTCGCTCACCGGGCGCGTGCAGCGCTGATCACGGGCATGCTCGACATCGAGCCCTCCCACCGGATGACGCTCGCAGACGTCGCGGGGCATCCGTGGGTAGCGAGGTAACCTGCATCCCGTCGACGGTAGCCGCACCGCTCACACAGCGCACACAGACCGAGCCAGCTCGCCTCACGCGGCCTCTCCGCGATCGCGGCGTCGCTCACCCAAGGCCTCCGCGACTCGGGCCAGATGTCTATCGCGGAGCCCAACCTCTCCGCGTCCGACGACGACCCGATGGAGGTCGACTCCGCCTCCTTCTCCTCCGTGGACTCCGCGGCGATGGTCCGCGCGGCCGGCCCGCGCCCCGCGAAGACGCAGTTCACGCAGACGCTGATGCTCTTCTCGCAGATGCCGGGCGGGCAGCGGTACCGCTACTGCCCGCACCTGACGCGCTTCTTCGCCGCGCTCCTCCCGCACGCGCTGCTGGTGCTGATCCAGGACGCGCTGGCGGAGATGGGCGTGAAGCAGAACCCGGCCAAGGAGCTCATCCCCGAGCCTGGGGGGGACGACGAGGACGAAGAGGAGGAAGAGGAGGCGGTGGCGATGATCCGGATGCGGATCGGGACGAAGGACCGGCGGAAGATCCACATGAAGGGCTACGTCGAGATCGAGGAGATGAGGGGCGTGGGGTACACGGGGAGCTTTGTGGTGTTCGCGCGGGACGCGGTGGGTGCTATGTTCTTCTTGTGCAACAAGGCGAAGCTGATGCGCGGACGACGGTCGATAGGGCAACCCGCTCGAGTGGCGGGCGATGTGGAAGACGCTTGTCGAGCACCCGCTCGTCAGCCCGCATGTGTACAGGAAGAGTGGCCTGTGAAGGGTTCGTTTTGTGATCTTCGTGCTTTGTCGCTCGTGGGTTTGCATCTGTACTATAGCTTTTTTGGGCTGTAAATCTTGCTTGTGGTAGAGCAGACCACCCCGCCGCCTCCGTCATTGCTGTCGAGGCTCTGGTCTCGCACTGACTATGTATAATACATACGACTCCGTGGATATACGACATGTTCAAGCACAAATTCGCGCCGCAACAGGCAACAAGCTATATGCGCGCACCCCTACGCCTTCAGCGCCTTCGCAGCCACCCCAGCGTCCGCCTTGATATCCCTGGTAAACTCTTCATGAGTCGTGTGGTTCCGCACCCACCCAACCTCCTTCCGTCTCCGCCTTGCAGCGCGTGTTGGCGAACAGCCACTCCGCGAAGAACTCGCTCCCGAAGTACTTCACCCGCTCGTCCACGGCCAACGCGGCCGGCTCCGCCCCCCTGGTCACCCCGAGCTCGACAAGGGCCTCCCCAATCGCCCGGACGACCTCGTGCGTGGCGTGTTCGCTGCCCGTGACGAAAACGTAGCCCTCGCGCCCGCGCGAGACCTGCGCCGCGTCGAACAGGCGCGTCCGTGTCCGCACGGACGACGCCCAGAACGCGTGATGAGCAGGCACACACGATGCCACAAGGTGTCATAAAAGAACGCGCTGTCCTCGACGTGGACGTGCCCCCATGCATGCGCGCCCTTCCCGGTGATGCCTGGGAGGCCCCTCCTGCGGCGGCGGCGATCGGCGCGGGCCCCTCGAAGAGCGGGCCGCTGGGGTGCCCGTAGATGATGCGCGGGGGGACACATGGACGTCGGCGCGTGCGCATCGGTGTCCGCGGAGCGCACCAGCTTGTCGACGCCGGCATTCACGGGCGTCGCGGGGACATTGTCGATCGCAGCGAGGTCGAGGTAAGAGGTGATGCATGATGGTGGATCCGAACTGGGATGTGTTCCGGTGATATCACACAGTCTCGACGACACGGTAAGCCGTGTTCAACCACCACCACATCGCATTATCTTGGTTGGACGATGGCAGGGAGCGGGGGCCGCGTAGAAACGAAATAGTCCTTGTAGTGCGTTTCGTATTCTCTTATATCCCAGCCTTCCCTCGGCCGGAATCGGAAGCGCTGCGCGAGCGCACACAGCACCATCCGCATCTCCTGCATCGCAAAGCCCCTTCCCACGCAGTTCATCGGCCCGGCGGAGAAGGGGATGAAGGCGATCTCCTCGTGCGCGAATTTGGACGATGTCGGTTTCAGCGTCGATGACGGCGGGGGTCGCGCGTCCTCAAGCGCAACTTGCCCAGAAGCGATCAGCCATCGCTCGGGCCAGAAGGCGTCGGGGAAGGAGAAGTTGCGCGCATCCCGGTGGAGCGAGTATGCAGGAAAGTAGACAGTCGTGCCTGCAGAAAGGTAGCTAGAGCATCCTCCGGATGAGCACAGGCTGTAAGGAGAAGTAGGAGGACAGACATCGAGCCGGCGTACACCCCATCGGATTCGCGAGGCACCTGGCGTGAGCCGCCGGTGGTGATGGGAGCGTATAGTCTGAGGGCCTCGTTTCTGCGGAATCGCCCATTAAGCGGCAGCACATGTACTGTGTGGCCAGCGTCGGGCAATTACTCACATCACTGCGTTCATGTACGGCATGGTACCGTGGTGTTTCGTAACAAAGGCATCTTCGCCTTTAGGATAGAACGTGTCCACTTCCTCACAGAGGGAGGCGTAGACATTTGGATGGGTTAATAGACAGAAGAATATACTTGTCAGGGCACTGGCCGTCGTATCAGAACCAGCAGTGACAGCGAGGATGCCGTCATCGACTAGCTGTTGCATAGGGGCAGGTTCCTTGTCTGGCAGGTCTTCGTTGTTCTATATTTCGGATAAACGATTCGCGAGTTGATTGATCTGCGCCGAGAAAATCCACGTACTAGATAATGGAACAGATCGCGTGTCGTTGAACCACACCTCATGCGCTTAACCACAGCCTCCTTTCCGTGGGTGATGAAGATGTGGAGGGGGCGTACCGCGACGGGGATCTTGCCAATGCAGAGACCAAGCCATGGCACGGTTGAGAAGAATGAAGCAGCTCTATATCAAGGTGAGATGTTTGCTAACCTTTCATACTTCGAAATATATGGCGTACCGCGTGCCCTGCTGCAGGATAGACCAGACACCATCCTTGTCTCCTTCGAGCATGAGCTCTGAGCCTCCTCCGAAGCTATATGAAACCAAATGTCATCGGAGTTGGACCTCGCACATTGAAATAGAAGTCATACGCCATGTCGCTCATGAGGTCATATCTATATCGCAGCTGTTCGTCAGCTCTGGCTCGACGCAAAGTAGCTAAGGTGATACACCCACGCGAAATAGTCGAACCACTTCTCCAACGACACCCGCCTTTGCTGCTCCAGTGCGTCGGCAAGCTGCCGCGCCCTCTGTGTGGTGAGCTGCTCGTACTCTTTCAGCGCTGCTGGGCCAAGTCCGCGGTTCCAAGCCCGCCGGCGTCGGACGTGTTCTTCTACTGTCGAGATGCCCACCAGAGGGAAGATCTGGCCGAGGAACGCGCCGATATACACTACTCTGCCTCAGCAAGGGAGGGGAGCAGACACGAAGAGCAGGCATAGACGTACTGGATCCCTACGGTAAGCTTGCGAGCTTGGTTGTCGCTGAGCGGTCGCGGATCGACTACTCATTTGGGCCTAGTATGTGCAACAAAATGGCGCGAGGGCTCGCATAGATGCACACAGGTGGAAAACATGAATCACAGACCGGTTCTCACAACGTCTCCATAACGTTCGTGTAAGGCTTTGAGGTATGTGTTCCGCTGTCCGCTGACGGACAGGAATGCGTGGCAGAAGCTCGAGGTTCGATACCAAAATGGCCCTGGATATCGAGCCAGCGGATGTGAAGGCGATAGACGGTAGGCAACGATGGACAACGCGAGTGCCAAATAGAAGACTCCGTAGCATGAGACGAGAGTGCGTTGGTAGATGCTCGAAGACGTCGCATCCGTAACGAAAGAAGTAATCAAAACCGGAGGACACAGAAGGAAGATGGCGTGGAATAGAGTGGAATACGTGTCGATCTTGCGGAACACCTGGTGAACGGCCTGAAAGCCAATATTTCTCAGTGTCAGCGGTCTCATAGCGGTTAATGACAACTACGTGCTAGAGCCGTAATCACGGTGACCCAGTCCGAGTCCACGAGCATCGGGTGAGTGACAGAGGTGCGAGCAACCCCTACAGAGAATAGTCAGCTCCTAGATCAGCAGAAGAAGTCTGAGCAGGTCGAGGAAGTGGTCTGAGTGTGTATACTGTATCTTGCCCGCAGTGACAGGGCGCACGGAGATATATCAGCCATGGGAACTCCGGAGTCAGATGCCGGCTTTGATAACCTTTCTGGTCCAGCGCTTTCGGAGATGGACTGCTGCCGATCTTCCATTAGAGAGGCGTAATAGATGGAGAACGACGGTGAGGCTACAAGCTAGAGCGCAGATGACTCTGTGAGTACAAATAAAAGACTACGCCGGAGAACGGCACCAGACTGTGCTTCCCCAGATGAGCCAACTCTTCGCTACGATCCGCGTATACACGATGGGTACAATATGCAAACCCGGGAGGGAACAGCTGGCGTCTTGAATACGGCTCGAAAGAGCAGCAGATCCAGATTGGTTGGCGAGAGCATATCAGGCCTGGACTACACATGCTCTTACAGTTGTTCCGCCATCCCAAGGCTCTTATCTACAGCGGCTTCTCCAGGTGTGTCCATTGTCAAAGAGCCATCAGGGGCGGCTATACAGCTTGTCACGGGGCTGAGAGAATCTTACGGTCTGGCAAAGATAATGAGTAGCTGGTTCTGGGAGCGAGTCTAGCGCACTCACCATTACGTCTTACAACATCAAGATTCATTTGAGCCCCCAAACATTCATTGAAACTGGCTACTGGACTTCATCCTATGGGACTCGTGTTGCTCATTTAATTCGCTTCGTTTACCCTGGCGATTCCCATCAACCACAGTCTGCTGAAAAGAGGAATCGCTGAGATACGATGGAGGATTGGGGGACAGAGGCAAGCACTGATGGATTGGCGCCCTCGAGGACTGGCGAAGAGACAGGCACGTGATGAGCAGGTCGCGCGTGCAGCTGGGGTGAGAGGAGAATGCATCCTTGTTACTCGATCACGACAACGACGACCATACGCTTTCACGAAACCGACGGCGCGATGCACGCTTGAGCTGCCGAGGTCCCCTGGGCCCTCCCCTCTCAAGCATTTGACCATCCACTTGCTCGACGATCTCGACAATGGATCCCCAGGTCGAAGATCAGCAGCAGGAGGAAATCATCGTCTTAAAGGTGCGCGCTTCGTTATCAGCCATCGCGTTCGTGAGTCTCACACCTTGGAAGAGTATCTATGAACAAGACTTCATCGAGGTTCCTCCGCCAAAAGCGTGGAAGGTGCGTCGAGCGGGCGCGGAGGTGGCCCAGACAGACGCTCACGCAGATGCTCCTCTCAGGCCGCCCCTAGATTACCTGAGTTCAAGATACGAGTCACATATCCTGACCCAAAGTACGCTGAGAAGATATACTTCCATCTACACATAAAGTGAGTGCTCATACCCTTAAGTGTCATTTCCGGAACCTGGTGCCTCAGTCACTACCACTATCATCGCGGGTTAAGCGCCCCATGAGACTTCGAATCTCGAATCGAGTCACTTCGCGTCATAATAACGAAGTATAGTATATCCCCGAGAATCAATCCTTACAATATGTGAACTTCCGCAGCTGCCCTCGGGTGCTTACTGCTCCCCGGCGAACTGCTACACACCTTCTCTTTCTCTCACTTTTGCATGCATGGTATCTCCCTCATGCCAGGCGGTTGGACACGGACAACTACTGACCCCAATCGTGGTGATAGACTACCGAAGACTTATCCCAACAATGCCCCTCCTATCTTCACCATACAGCAGCCCATAGTTGGCCTCCGCCCTGATGAGATCTCCAAGTTGACACATGCTATCCATGATGAAGTGCAGCAGAAGAAGGGCGAAGAAATGGTCTTTCAGGTCAGTCTTGGAATCATCTGTGCCAGTCGATGCCGTCGGACTGAATTCGCCTACGTAGACCGTCTGTTTCGCGAAGGAGTGGATGGAGGCGAATGTTAAGCCACCAGTAGAGGTTTCTGGGTCTCTGGCCACCGAGATGAACCGGCGCGCGGTCGAAGAGGAGCGAGTACGTAATCAGGTGCTCTTAGACGTTAACATTCCCCCTAAACTGCATCCAGGTCAGGAAGCAACGAGAGGAAGAGGAAGCCGCATTGAAGAAACAACACGACGCCGAGTACGCCGAGAAGCTGAACGAGCAGATCCGCGAAAACGTACAGAGACAACAGCTTGAGCGTGAACGGTTCCAGCAAGCTCGTAAGCGTGCCATGTCGGATGCGACGGAGGTTCCTTTGTCCGAAGATGCTATGCCCACTGAATCGTTCGACTTTGAGATCAAGTGGCAAGGGCAGACGTTCCGTAGAGTTCGGTTGTTCCATCCTCGGCAAGGTTCGTTTGGACTGATGCAATTGTTGTGGAACCTTATCTCATATATATCCCAGAGTGTTTGGGAACAATCTACCAGGCTGACCCCATCTGTGACGAGCCGTTGAGTCCTCTGCCCTTGGAGCTCCTCTCCATCACGTTCGTGTCGCACTATTATACTACAACACAAGGTGACATACCCCAGTCCCTTCGTCTCTTCTCTGAACCTGACGTAAAATAGGCCGCAAGAAGCTCAAACAGGTCGAGACTGAACTTCAGCGCCTTGTCACAATTCGACATCAGAACTTGCTCGCTATACTTGCTGCGAAGCTGACGACGCCCAGTGCGAACTCATCGCCCCGCCTCATCATTCTTATGGAGAAGCGACCATCCATGACTCTATATGATCTGCTCGAAGACTCGGACGGCCTGCGCGAAGAACGTGCTACAGTTAGCGTGTACTCGCATATTGGTCGCCGTTCTACTTACTGACAGATGTACAGGAGTACCTTACGCAGATCCTGTCCGCTCTCCACATTGTGCACCACAGCGACATCGTGCATCGAGGTATGTCTTCTCATGATTATCTACCTTAGTGCAAGATTCAATGCGCGGTGCAGGCCTCAATCTGAGGTGTATCGGTCTCGCTCCGCGTGAAGGCATGGGCACGTCCAAGATTGTCAAGTTGTTCAAGGTTGGATATCATGTACGACTACTGGACCTGCATCGTTCCGATCCCTTCGGCTTCAACGTCGACGTGAGACTGGACGAAGATAATACCCCTGAGGGATGGCGAGTAGCGCAATTTATTCACATTGCTCCACCACTCAACCAACATTTGTTCAGGATGGCGCCTGTCGAGTCAAAGCTTGACTACACCAAGGCCCGCGACATTCACTCGGCGGGGATAGTCTTGTTGCAAATGCTCCTTGGACGCGATGTCATGGAAAGGTTCAGCGATCCGCAATCTGCTTTACACACAAGTAAGCCCCGACTCTTTGCAGGTTGAACGCGGCTGATGTCCGTTTTAGCGTCTATCTCGCCATTTCTAGCGACGAAAGCCGCAGCGATGCTCAGCCCTGCCAAGAAGAGTGGCGTGACGTGCCAAACGCTCTTGATGGATCTAGTCTCACCACCCTGCCCTTCAGCCAATAACCGTACTCCGACAATCCCATTCACAGGTCCAAGTAAGATCCATGTACTTGTCACTACCACGCGGCTGGATAACATCTTATGACCAGGACCAAAGACACCTCTTGTCAATGGATTTGCTGTCGGGTCTCCCGAGACGGACTACTTCCGAATGCCCCCGCCTACTGCGAGGCATTCTAGTAGGTGGAAGGAGGACTGGGAGGAGCTAGAGATACTGGGTCGTGGTGGATTTGGCCAAGTCGTCAAGGCTCGCAACAAGATAGACAATAGGATCTATGCAGGTGAATTGGTGCATGTTTTCACCGCATAGCTTCCCACTGACGCAACATTTTGGTCTGGCAGTCAAGAAGATCAAATTGCGCGATGTCGGGAACGACAAGATTTTCCGGGAGGTTAGCGCCTTAAGCCGGCTCAACCATCGCTTCATCGTCCGGTACTACACCACCTGGGTCGAAACGTCCGACGGGCCTCCGAGCCACATCGGCTCAGAGTCGGAGGACTCGGAGCAGACGGAAGAGACGAACGGACGGACATCGAAGCCAAGGCGGTCGAGCGACGATTTCAATGGCCACTTCACGACGTTCGACATCAAGGACCTTGACTCGATCAGTACCAGTCGGCATTCAACCTTCCCCAGTATACGCTTTGCGCGATCGAGCTCACAGCAGAATGATGATGATAATGGAAGTAGCGGGAGTGAGAGCGACGACGGGTTGTTCGACGCCGATGGGGAGGATGACGACGGGCTGGACGATCCATTTGGGTGGTCAGATGAGGGGAAGGGAAGACCTATCCCAATGAATGGAAGTGGGATCCTACGAAGACCTATGTCGCCTCCAGCGCCGAGAAAGACGTTGTACATCCAGATGGTAAGCTTATAGTATGTGTCCCAGTAGAACTGAGGCTCATCTGTCACAGGAATTTGTCGAGCGTCAGACGTTACGGGAGGTACGTGGAGGTTGGGTGTCCTACAGCTATCAACTCATCGGCGGCCGCAGCGGATTGCTGAAGGTCTCGAAGAAGAAGATGCGTGGCGTCTGTTCCAACAGATTTTGGATGCGCTTGTGCACATATCAAGCTTAGGCATAGTACGTTCCGCTACGTGGAGACTGCAGGATGAAGAAATTGACGTTGTTGCAGCTGCATCGGGACATCAAGCTTACCAACATCTTCGTCGGTGAGACATCTTGTGTTCCTATGTATGAGTGGCATCATGACTGACGGAGTGACTCTAGATGCCAAGGGAGACTGCAAAGGTACGGAACACGCAAGTATAGTAAGGTATTCTACTCAGTTGCTTTAGTCGGAGACTTTGGCCTTGCCACGGAGAGTTTGGACGCTGTTGATCCCTCTGACAAACCTCGCGAGATCCGTGATAATCAAGAGATCACCATGGGTAGGCGAACCCCTTGTCCACAGTTGCGCGCTCCATATTCACATGCTGATTATATAGACGTTGGGACGCGGTTGTACATGGCTCCAGAGATGTCCATTCAGACTTCTGACTCCGGAAGTCATTTCAAGAAGGATGGCAAGAAGAACAAAGTGGTCACTCCTCGCACGACATCGAAGGCCGACATGTATAGTTTGGGAGTAGGTCACTTCCTCGACAACCTTGCAAGCGAGGGACTGAGAGACGTTCTTCTAGATAGTGTTCTTCGAGATGAACTATTTCTTCAAGACCGACTCGGAACGCAACAAGGTCATTCCCGAGCTCAGACTACCGTCCATCGTATTTCCGTCGGATTGGGACCCAAAGCGAAGCAGGCAGCGACAGAGTAGGCAGTGGTTCTCCCACTTCTCCTAAATGACTGCTTACAAGGACTTGACAGTCATCACGATGCTCCTCCAACATGATCCGGACAAGCGACCGTCGGCTCTGCAGCTCTCCCAGAGTCCATTGCTCCCGGCGCGTGTGGAGGACGAGTACGTCAAGGGTGCTCTGAACATGATAGGTACGCTATTCACTAATCTCGTTGCGTTCACATCATATCATTGACAATCTTTACAAGCGAAAGCGGATTCTCCTCACCTGCCGGCCGTGCTGTCAACCCTCTTCACGCAACCAGTCAAGCCCGTTCGTTCGTATCTATATGACATAGACTCGGAGCCTCCAGAACATGCTTCCTTGAACTCCCTTGTCATAGACCACCTAGAGCAGATCTTCCACCTCCATGGTGCTGTCGACTCTGAGACCCCTCTGCTCATGCCAGTGACGAATCCAGTAGAGGACGATCACAATCGCGCTGTCTACCTCGATCGTCATGGAGAAGTGGTCAGTCTCCCTCACAACGCCCTGCCGCCGTTCGCTCGTGCTGCAGCTCGCGCAGAGTACAAGCGAATCAAGCGGTACCATATATGTGACATATACCGCCCGAAGTATGTCAAATTTCGTATATCATCACAATCAGCCTTTGATGAGACCATTGGCTGACCAGCAGTCCTGCCGGACATCCACGAGCGTCGAAGGTCGCTGTATTCGACATCATCACTCCTGACCTTGTCACCGGACCGAACGCAGCTGCAGCAGAAGGAATAGCGATTGTGAACAACTGCTTGGACGTTTTCGGTGACCTCTCCGAGCACTACGTCATCGTGATCTCGCATTCCAAAAGTAAGTCTACAGTCTCCAGCTCACCATATGAAACTGATTCTGATCATGATCCAAGTCCTTGAAACGGTTCTCGAGCGTGTGCCTGCTGAATTACGAGCAGAGACGATAGATATGTTGACTAACACCAAATCGTCGGCGTCCCAGAAGCGCAATAGTCTGATTGTCAAGGGTGTCTCTCGCAGCGTCTGCGATGAGCTCAAGCTTCTGGCCGAGACCTGTACGCATTTCACCTTCCCATGATAGCATATCCGAACCCGAGCTGACGACGCTATGAGCAGATGACACAGTTGATGGGCTTGTGGAGCGCTTAGAGAAGTCCTCTCCTATTTTGCGCCAAATGCTGGAACCGTACCTGAAGGACATCAGGCACACGCTTCAGTTCGTACAGGTGTCGGGCGTGGTGCGGCCCATCCGCGTCGACCCGCTGTTACTAGGACACCGCAATGCCTACTTTGCCAACGGCGTCTGCTTCATGGCGGTCAGGAAGAACAAGCGGACTGACGTCCTTGCCGCTGGTGGACGGTACGACCATGTCATCAAACGGTACACGACACCCACAGCGAACCCCGAGCCTCGCGCCGCAGTCGCCCTTCAGATCTACCTGGAGAAGATCACAGCGACTCTCGCCCCTTACCAGAACCAGTTCCTTACTTCCCAGCAGGCTCTGAAGGAGCTCAAGTCATTTGGATACTGGTGTCCCCGCCGGTGTGACGTCTACGTCGTTTCCTACCAGCCTGGGTACCTGGCAGAGCGGCTGGAGATCGCGGCGATGTTGTGGAAGCATCATATAAGTGCGGACGTCATGTACGAGGCTGCGTTTCGCGATGCAGAGATCGAGGATTATATAGAACTGTGTCAGACGGAGGGTATACTGTATGCGCCTTTGCTTTCCTCTCATGTGACCAAGGTATTGACTAGCCGCAGATTTCTTGTTCATGCGAAGCCTCGTGTTGGTGGTTCGCCCGTGTACAAGGTCAAGAGTGTTCTCCGGGGGACTGAGACAGAAGGTAGGGCGCTAGCTTAGCACCGAAGAGCGTTTGCTGAGTCGCTGTCACATAGTGCAACCATCGGAGCTCGTCTCCTTTCTACAGCAACATATTGCCGAGCAGAAACGTTATGATGCGACTTTATCCGGTGGTCAGGGCGCGGTAGAGAGCTCACCTATCCAGCCCGTGGCAGAGAAGCCTGCTCCTGCCGCCGATACTCTTGTCGTTCTGCCGAACGACGTGAAAAAGGCGCGCAAGAGCACGAAGGGTCTCTATGGCAACAAAGGTAACGAATGTCGCTTTCGATCATCCTTCAATCCAACTCACCTATCTTTTCAGCGTACGATAGCGCTACTGCACTGAAGAATGCCATGCCAGGCATCCGAACAATTGCTGTAGAGGTCACAACAGCTGTGTTCGACGAGTTGGCAAAGAACAGCAACTGGCTGACGAGCGAGGACGCGTTGCGGACGATTGCTGCTGGGCTGCCCACGCAGCATGCCGGATACGCGCAGCAGATCCGAGAGGCGGTGCTGCGACAGAAGGCGGAGGGACAGCGTTATGTGCTACTATATGGTATACGTCAGGATCGCATTGCATTGCTCACGTTGGCTTAGGACGCTCTATCTACCTTTCTTCTCTCACTTCAACATTTGTATCACCAGTCACCATCATCACGTCCCATTTACCGGGCTTCTTGGTTCATGTCATGTCATGTCAAGTCGTTCATGTATGTTTCCATCTATATCGTATTAATACTATATCGTGCATCTCACGAGTTCTTAGGGAGAAATTGCGAGCGTTCAAATTTGTTGGCCCAGGATGAAAGGACTGTTTGTCAAAGAGTAAATCGCTTCGATAAGACCTGAGCAACTCGCCTGGTCGGTACAGCAGCATTCAGCCTACCATTTGCATTCGCGCACAAGGCCGTCAAAGTCTATGTATGGTGGGTGTATGAGCAGAAAAGCCAGCGGATGGACCCCCGAGTGGGCCAGTGTTATCGATCTTTGTCGTGTCCTTCGGCAAATAAAGGAGACGATCGTGTGATATTCGAATGCACAGCGTTTCAAGACAGTGAGTACATACGATGTCGACAAGGTTCGCTTGTAGGTTGGCGACTCCACTGCCAAATCCCCATCCGCAGAGATCTTCCCGTACTTCTCGTTGACCTCCTCCAAGTCGTTGATGACGGCGTCAAGAAGCATTAAGAGCAAGATGCTTCTTCTGTCCGTGAAATCCGGCCGTGTAGACCAGTCCGACCTTAAGAGAGGGGGCACGTTTGGACAATGACGATGATGGATCCAATAATGATATTGAGCTGTTTCGCTAGGGTTCTTCGGTCGTATCTGGGCTAGGGCGTTTCGAGCTCGCCAACATCATGATCGGAATGATCATGAATCTCACGAAATCGACATCGCGATCCACTTTTGAAGCCTCGAGGTGCCAGATCAACGTATTGTCTCGATTTTGTGAAGAGCTGACCCAGATCATTGTAAAATTGAACAAGTCAAATACCAAGCGTTCCGACACGGGGAATCGATCCCCGTGCTATCGCGTGAGAGGCGATAATGTTAGCCACTACACCATATCGGACTACGGATACTGCTAGTCCATTCAAACATCATCAGCATTTATAATCGATGTCTGAACGTGCGATCACTTCCGGATCCATCTTGACCGAGTACTTTGTCCCCTTGAGCTTAGTCCTGCACCGACACAGAAGACGACCCGTATGGACTGTATGTAATGAATGGCGAGAGTTTACAGCGCCTCCAACCGCCGGCTTCATCTCGCCCAGCCCGAGGAAACTGTGTAGATCAGTGATGTTGATGGCTGCAGTCAAACCGATGCACGCGACATCCTCGTCGCTGGAAACAACCCGGCTACCCGAAGTCGCACCGCAAGATCCCCTCATATAAACTCAACGGGGTTTCTGTTGTCTGTCGTCCTGGTCGACGTACGTCTTGCTTTCTTCTTCTCTTCCCTCGGCTGGTCCTTTGCCTCTTCTACTCGCACACTCACTCCTTCGTGTGTATCCGTCCCCTTCGCCTGTTCTCTCTGACTCTTTGTATCTCCCTCATCCCATCATCGTTGTCCCCCTTTTATTTGCCTCTGAAATATGTTCAACAGGACCGCCGAGTATCTCGCACATGGCGCCCGCACCTTTGGCCCTCTTGCCAAACTCCATCCTGAGCAGCGCCAGCGGCTCGAGAAATCGAGCAAGAAGGTTGGCAAGGTCCTTGGAGAAATGCCTTTGATCGATATTATTCCTGCATCTCCCCGCGTTGTGGATGGTATCGTGAGCGAGGTCAAGCAGAGCAAGAAGAATGGAAAGTCGAAGAAGAAAGCCCCTCCTGCGCCCATTCTGCGCTACAAGCTCGCGCCCTTCCGTCGTAAATCTACTCGTCGTGTGTCAGGCGCTGCCGTATGCGTATCGACTCGCAGCAGGGCACGCAAGCCTGTCCCGAACCTTGACCTGGAGGAGCACGGATGGCGAATTGAGGCCGATTCTCTTTCTCCTTCCCGCATGAGCCAGGCGAGGTACGCTCCCGAGTTATGTGTGCCCAAGAAGATACATTGACGAATGAGCACGACCCTCTATACAGGACACCGCAAGGTGCTATCTTCCTGAGCCCTCTCTCCCCCCTGTCCCCCTTCTCCCCCATCGAGACGTCTGACATGCGCCAGCAGCGTTACTATGGCCTGCGTCAGCTCGCTCGCGTCTCCCGCGCATTCCGTGACACCATCGTCGAGGAGCTCCCGTCTATGGCTCAGGTCACTGAGCAGGTGGACAATGTCAACTCGTATCTCGACCTCTATCGTATAGCAAGCGCGAGACGTCGCGATCCTGAAGCAGACGTTGCTAGCATGAACCTCGACACGGCGTACACTGCATACACGGATGTCACGGACGTCAACGAGGCGTACACAGCATGCACCATGCATACCCCAGTGTCTACTCGCCACGCCCGCCGTCGCTCCTCATCTCTCTCTCGCATCCAGCACCGGAGCATGTCCTCTAACGCATCCGCCAGCCCAATCGCGCGCACGAGTTTCATTGTCCCGCACTCCGCGTCTGTCTGCTCGTTTCAGGACCAGCCCGCGCGCTACACCCTCGTCATCAACGTCCCTTCCCCTCGCACCCCAGCCTTGCTGATCCCTTTCACCGCAAGTACGGCTCATTCCACACGCATGTCCATGTCCCAGTCGTACACTGTCGTTCTCAGCGTCCCCCGGGACCTCAAACGCGACACCCTTCCTGAGACGCCCGCAGATGAGGACTCTCCGCTGCAGAAGCAGCAGAAGGAGGCGCGTGCCCGCGCCGCGATCCTCACCGCCATGATGCAGAGCCAGCCTACGACCCTCGCGCTCGAAGACGCAGCAGTGCCTTTTGCGCCCCGCACCCCAGGCCCGCGCGCACCATACTGGGTGCGCCAGTCATACCACGTCTCGGCGCACGGGTACGTCCGGCGGACGCACAGCTACAGCCGCCGATCGGGTATGCGCGTGCCCCCGACTCCGAAGACGGTCAGACGGGAAAGGAGGCAGGGGTGGGGTGGGGAGTGGAAGGCCGGGAAGCTCGCTGCTGCTGTGGAGGGGTTGAAGGAGATCAAGACTCCTGCACCGCCTGTCCCCGAGAAGGACTTGGGGCCGGTTGTCGTCATTCGGTGAGAAGTCGTAGCTGGGGCATATTGTGCTGCAAAAGGATGGGAGGCGCTATCGTCCTCGATGTGCTGTATCTGGCCCCTCTTGAATATACCATATGACGTGCAGTACCGGATCCTCGTTGTGATCGTTGTGCGACGGGGGGCCAAGATTGAGTTTGTTCTAGGTAAGTCATTCAGAGCACAAGCGGCTTGCGTCTCTGACAATACGTTGGCATTCGCAGCCTATATTTGCCACGATACTGGGCAAAGATGTCATCGCAAATCGCGTTCGGCTGGATCCAAGCATGGTTGGTAATGCTTTGCGCTGTGTCTAAGTAAGACTGAGCGATTTTCAAAAGAAAACAAATCACCGAGAAGAGCCTGAGCAAATCAAGGAAGCAGTGTTGAACGTAACATATTCAGTCAATCATGAGCGCTAGAGGCGACGCCTGATGTGGTATCGGACTCGCATTCGTCTGCAACGCCGGTGTCATGTAATGCGAAGGAGCTGTATAGGTTAGTACGTTTCGTGAGTAGTCCGGTTGTTTCACACTAAACCGGACGCCACAGCAGGGACGGTGGTCTATGTAGCGCGTACGGGGATCGACCGACGTCGGCGCTACTCAGGTACATACCGTCTGGGCACAGGCGTTTCAAGCCCCGCAAACCACCTCGTATACTTACTGCAACTACTCAATCTATGCAGTATCCTACGTTATACTCAATGCTCCCCCGTTAGATTGTATGGGGCGCCCTGACGCCGTAGTGTCTCGTCTTGACCGTCGACTGTCAAACGTCCGACAAGAGCCGGCACGAACCTTCGGTCCTTGGATAGTATCTGCAATCAACGAAAATCTCCCCGGTCTGCATGCGGTGCCACCTGGATCGGCAGTCAAACGTTACAGCGCACATACCTGCCGTGGGCCATGTATAAAAGCACCTCCAGGATACGTCTGGTTTCCTCACCAAGCTCAAGCAACATCTTCTGAGCCTCAGCATTCTCTCCACGCATCTCTCTCAACTCTCTCAACGCTCAAGCACACTATTCACAATGCCCGACTGGCCTCCCTACCCCTCCGGCCCCTTCACCGGCGAGTTCGTCGTCGGTGGGTTCGGCGGTTCACCCTTCCAAGCCTGCAAGTGGGTGGCCTCGGTGTACACCACCGTGTTGAACTGACCGGGCTCCTGGTACGTGCTCACAGTGCCGTCCGAAAGCCGGAGTGTGACGGTCGCGATGTAGTTCGCATGGCCCACGCCCTGCTGGCAGAACGAGCTCGCCGTAATGCCCTCGCCCGGCTGGAGCTCGCCCGAAATCCCCCAGCCGACGCTCTTCTCGAACGACGTCGATGTGCTCGTCTCCTGCGTACTGGTGTTCTGCCACGAATATCCATCTCCGAATTTACCACCAACTCCGAACAGTTCGGCGGAAACCTCGGCGTTAACAGAGAATCCGTACGTGGTCGTGGTCGACTGGGTGAACGTGGTCGTCTCGGTGCGCTTCACCTCGTTACTGAACGTCCACGGGAGGCTCGCCTTCGCGTTGGGCGGGTTGTAGTAGTGTATGCTGTCGAGGTCCTGCCGGGAGATGCCGGTGTTGCTCCCTGTGAGGGGAGGGTTGTAGACTACGTTGGAGATCGAGATGGACTGGACCGAGCCATTAAGGAAGACGGGCCCGAGCATATCGATCTCCAAGCCGCAGCGTCCAACGAACCCAACGAGAATACCGGAGCCGAGTCCAGCAGGGTACGCCGTCTGGCCATTGGTGTTCTTGCCAACGTCAAACGTCTGTGGCGAAGGGTGTCAGTTTTGCGTGAGACTCAAAAAGGCGATGCCTGTACCTGGCCCGCGCTGGTAGTGAGACGGATCCGGCCGGTACGCGTACCAACGCCATTACCCCAGAGAGTCAGCTCGGTGATGCGCTCTCCGGGAACAAAGGTGATGCTGGCATGCGAGTCGCTCGGCTGTCCGAAGACACTGGTGCGCGAGTCGTCGGAAAACGTGACCTGGATGCCGCGCAAGACGCCCGAGTTGTACCACACGTCGAGCCCTTTGACGACGAGCGCACTTTGATTCATGGAGGTGACTGTCAAGCCGGATAACTAGCTTAGGGAGGCTGCTATCAGCTAGGCCCAGGTGAGTACCTTCCTTACAACTGATCTTTGACCAGATACTGACTAGCCTCTTCAGTGTTTCTTCCGGCAATATGATCGAAATGTTTGGATAGGATTGGTCTTGCGTTTCCGGCTCGAGAATGCACCGCGCGGACGACCTAGTAGTAGACTACAAGTAGTTAGCAAGCTGTGTACACATCGGCCCTATCACGTAGTTCGGCAATGTATCTGCAAGTCGCTCATATGCATAGCCATGTCGGACTGCACAAGATCCGGCGTCGATTGGTTCGCCTCGGATTCTGGAGGAATGGCGATGTCGCCGACGAGGACAGCAACGGCTGAATGGACTCTAATATGTTCTTTGCCAACTCACAGCACTTCATACATCGAAACTGAAAGCTCATCTAGAAGTCCACAGGTGCTGGCATTGAGTCCCCACCCGTAGCATGAAACCCCTCATCGCCGCCAGCCAGCCTCCTTTGCCCCTGTAACCCGCCGTCCCCGCCTACATCGATCTCTGACGCCATGGAAGCGGTGATATGCACGTTGCGTGTCGCAGGATGCAGGTGATACGGTTTGCAGGTCAACTCTACATGTACGTGGTATGAAGAGCGAGGGTCGTAGATAGTGAAGCGCTTCATATTATTGGACCAGTCGTCGACGTGGTGCTCCGAGCAGTCGTGCGACACCATAGACACCAGATCGTCGGTCGAGGGGGAGGTGGTAGCAGGCTCCCCCTCATCTAGGGTGGCAGTAGCCCAGTGCACGTGGGGTCTTCGCTGGGAGCAGATGCCCATGAAAACGCGGAGAGGAATGAAAACGAACCGAGTCAGCCCGGTCAACGGATTCGTGAGCTCCGTCCGGTAGGCGAAGCTGAGTGAGGCAGGTGAGTCTCCAGTCCAGGGGGACTCCATGAGCGCAGTGTCTGCGGCCAAGGACACAGATCTTTGAAGCACCCTGGCATGCGACGGGGGAATAGAAAAGGGTGCATGTAAGCTCAGGCTCATCTTGTGCAACCTCCGAGGCAGCCGCGAGGACGGCAATCGATGGGCGATGTAGATGGTGCTCCACTGCGCGGGCTCTTGCTCGGTGCTGCTACGATCTAGCCCCCTAATTCTAAGGTCTTCGTCCAGAAGGACTAGATGTCCGAAGAGATTTGGAGTCGTCGATGGTCGCAGGGAGATCCTATACAATGGTCGCGAACGATCCCGGCTCTGGATTACGCGCTGGAGATGGAGGCCTATGTGAACCCTAGCTCCTTTTAGTCGGGTGCCCGACAGAACTGCGATGTAGCCACCGACATCTCGCACGGAGTACTGGAAGACCGGTATATGGGCTAGAAGGCCGTAGGATGTGAGGCTGAACGCGGACTGCTTGCTCGCATCCGAGTCGTGATCAACGTCACCCTACTTATCTTTAGCAAGGTCCTTGTGCAAACATCTCAACGTTAGGAATGACTCACAGTCTCAGAACTGGACAAAGATGTCCACCCGTCTGTGATAGGCGATGGGACCTCGTCATCGTCATCTGGGTATTCAATATTGTGCCCGATAAACCCGAATGCTGAAGGTGAGTCTGCGAAAATGCTGGTGGTGGATATTATCGACTCGAACTTCGTTGTAGCCGCTGTCAGGTTGATATCGGCCAGATGCTCTCCATCGACAACAGCTCCCCACGCGAATATTGAAACGTCGTCGATTTGTCGCATAATCTCCTCTTGTAGCCTGCGGAAGGCATTCTTCCCTTCCCCATAGAGGACAGGCATGAATATACCAAATATCCCCATCAAGCAGTACGCCTCGTCCTCAGGACGCGTCGTCTCGCGGTTCGCAGCCCAAGCCATCCGAGCGGCCACGCAGTAGTCGGATGGCCGTACTCTGAGCTGTAACACGTCCACAGGTACCTTTGTGATGCTCTCCAGCAACGGAGCTAGGTCCATCTTCGTGCCCAGAAGTTCCCAGCTTCTAGATAGGAAGACAACAAGCTCGGGTGCGATCAGCTCCTGTAGTGTCCATCCGCGCCGATGCCACCTGCTGCTCCGAAAATCGGAGTAAGACTTCTCGAGGACGTCGAGAGAGCGCGTCATCACGTCTGACAGGTAAACGTAGCAGACGTCGGCGAGGGTGTAGTAGCGGAACATGGAGTTGATGGCTTCGGTCAGCTCGGCGCTACTGTCCTTGTTGATACAACAGGTGTCGACCCATCCCCACTCGTAACCGTCCTTCTCCGCGAGTATACAAAATTTGCGGATTTTGGTAGAAACGAGGTCGCGAGGACTGGCTGGAGAGTTCGAGAGAGAACCGGTGACAGAAGACGTATCGTTGGAACTAGAGGGTCGCCTGATAGCGGCTTGGGCACATCTAGCGCGAAAGGTTTGGATTTCCTGGAAGGTCGTTTCTTGCTTATCCCAGACGTGGGAGAGGACCGCGTACCCGCCAGGCACGCTCTCGGGGGTCGGAAAGAACTTGAGTTCAGCTCTGGCGGTGTTGAGCAACCACATTGGGGACCTGTACGTTTCGTAGTGAGGTTGATAAAGCTGGGTGGTATTGGGCGCCAAGATGTGGTTGAACATGAACGTACCGTTCGAAGTCCTGCGATTCAAGGTCCGAATGACGCCGGACGAGGCACCGTGTTCTTGTATTAATTAAAAGGCGATCTGGGTTGGAGGTGCCGTGTTCGACGTTGTCAACAGAGGTGACTCGGAAGTCGTCCTGCGAGAAGCGTACAGAGACTGACCAGACAAGTCGGTCCAGCGGCACCAACGACATAAGTATGAGTTCGGCGGCCAGTTGTGCTACGGAAAGAAGCAACCGCATCAGCAAAAGTGTAAAAACATCGTCCATGATTGTAGGTGGCGCCTGAAGCGCCGATTAGGGCGCGAGACGGCGCAAGCACCCGATATGGGAGCCAAGGGTGCCTGTCCATACAATACTCACAATACCGGGCAAGGATCGCGGCAATATAGCACGACCGCGCCATATAAGTACGGGTTTCCATCATCTCACGCGTCCGCACAACAACCTAGGGTACTTACTCATGAGCAGATCCCTGAAACTTGACAAGTTGGGTCGCGGTGTATGACATAATCTATTCCCTTCCCGGTGAGTGAGCAGACAATCCTTCGCAAAAACATTGTATTAGTTAGCGATCAAGTCTACACGAGCTAGCTCAAGCTCATCGTCGTCCATAGGTGTCCGTGCGATCATCCGTGACAAACCTCTCCGTGCAGATCGCGCACTCCACCTGCTGGTCTGCCTATGCCAGCGTTGAGAGTTGACACGAAGTTAACAGGGCATCTGGTCCTTGTCCAAGGCGGGGCGGGCCCTCGAGATTACTAATGTTTACGTGAACAAGCAGAGGCTCGTGTTTCTTGCGGCTAGTGCCAGTCCATGTCCATAATAGGAACTTGTGGACGATGCGCTCCAGAGCTCGATCGCGTTGTGCAGCGCGACCGGCTAGTACACAGTGCATGAGAAGCGTGAGGAAAGTGAGCAGCGAAGGAAGTAGGAGTACGAGTGTGAAGGTGATTATGGGGCTGCAAATTCGGGTAAGTGTGTCAGAAATGAAGACTTGCGCGCATATAGTATCCGCGCATATAGGACCTCACGAATACCATTCCCATGCAGAATTTTGGGCACTAATGGGTAGGCAAGGGTCTTCAAGATGTTGTGTGCAGTGTTAGACGTTCAAGTAATCATAGCGGAAAGCTGGACATTTCCCAATACCTGATATATATGCGGCGATGGTGACGTCCGACAAAACCTCTGCGGAGGCAAAGCTATATCAGCAGGAGAGAGAGATCAGAACGGTAGTCAACTCACTTTGGCTGAACATGTTCAGTGGTGCATCCGCATTGTCTCTGTCTCCCCCAACTACAACCGCCTTCGCACCCAGCTTCTGTGCCTGCCTCGCTTTCTTGACGAAAGGGCAACCACCTCGCTGAACAAGCGCGATGCAGGTGTCCGTGTCCTCCGGCTTGTAATCCCTATTGATGCAAGGTCCAGGGCATCCAAGGTCAGGGTCGGCCTCAAGAAAGATAGGTGGGGTCGGTCTCGTTTTCCCCGTCCTTGGGGCAAGGAGACGTGAAAGACGAGAGCAGGATCACGTAGCCCAGGAGACATTCAGCGAGTTCGACACCAAATAACGCACTAGAAAGGAGACGGGAGGCATTTGGTTGTCGACGGAGACACTGCTATCCGAGGCCCAAGCCCAGCCCTAGAGCCAGCTGCCGCTGTTGTCCCAAGCATTCCCAGGTGAGCTTACGGAGCCAGTCGGGGGTGCAGAGGGAAAGGGCAGCAAGAGACGAAAATGCAAGGGGGATAATGAGGAGGAGGTTGAGATTGTGAGAGTGAGGAGGCGGAGGCCAGGGTGCGGGCGACACGAAGGCTTCGTGCGCACGTGATGTATACGCTCTTTGCCCAGGCGCCCCAGCTATATCAACGTGTCCAAGGTAAGTAATCCTATTGCCGTTTTCCACTGACTTTTGACGTGTACGGAACTCAGCAACACTCCGCCGTGAAATCTGTATAAGATTGGGCCCCTTCGGAGCATCATCAAGACGCTCCTTCCCCCATCCCCCTCTCTCACCCCTCCATTCTCAGTCGTGCTGTCTGCTATGTCACGACTCTCCGTACTCTCACAGCTGTCTGGGCCTCCCACTTCTCTGATGAGCTGAATTGTTACTTCTACAAGCACTGGTCCCGCTCCAAGAAGGCGTTCAACCGCTAGCATGCCGAGCACAGTGGCAAGTCTGTCACTCGCTCATTTGAGCATATCCGCAAGTACTGCACCGTTGTCCGTGTTCTCGCTTACTCAGGACACCTTGAGCTCTTGTGCATGACATGGAGTCATGATATGGCTTCACACCATAGCTCGGCCTCTCAGCCACTCTCGTTTCGAGCCTTGCGCGATGCTATCGGTGAGTTTGACATCTCTTCAATGATAGCGCATATATACATTCCTTTTTCCACGCATATACTCATGGTTGTCTAGGAGCTTTATTGTCTTATCCTCAAGCCATAGGCTGTTTTCTCCCTCTGTGCCAGTGGTGTGTTGTCTGCCTTCACTGAGAGCGCATATACTGACGTTGTTCTTAGCTGAGCCTGAAAAATGACTACGTGGAAGCCTCGGCGTTGGGATGCCGTCACTAAGGTACATTCTTGTTGCAGTCTTCCTTCCTCTTGCCTTCTAGTGTACGCTGTAGTTCCTTATGACTTAGGCCGCTCTCCATGTACGATACGGACCGTTCATTAATGTATTCACAAGTGGACAACCTTCCATGCCTGATTGGAATGCATCGTTTCGCTCGACTGTGCTCATCTGATCGCCCAATGCGGAAAATCTGAGGCAATAACATCAATTCCGGGCAATATATAGTACGAATGGTTTGATATCGCCTGGTCTTCTCGTTATTACCCGCTCTCACAATCTCTGGAATCCCGGGCAATATAAAATAGCATGGCGCTCGATCGCTGTCATCGCAAGCCAGTGCCACGCTCACCAATACCCGGCAACACCTGCAAGATATCGCCAGTATTGCCCGGTATTTCCGGACTTTGTCTTGTCGTGCAACCTAGTCAGGGTGATTGGGCTAGAATGGAATCCTGACAAGGTGCGCCCAACATTCATCAAATGTCGCAGGGTATTTCTACGACTGCCCGAGTACGCATGGGTAGGTAATATACGACAATATTTTTACAGTTTCGCTGATGCGCTCATCATGGGCTCTAGCACCTGAGGTATGATCTGACGGCTGATCGCAGCCGTACATGGCAGATAGGCTCCCTCGTATATCGGAAGATGAGCTACTTGCTGCATGAGATTTTGGAAAAGAGATGACACGAGTGCTGTAGCAGTCTTGCCATCACCTACGGCAACGCGCTTAGCCTGCTACTTGCTGAAGTCGGTGGACATGAACTATGTATGACTCACAGACATTCTTTTGCAATCTTCCGGGCAAGAATGGCGCTCTTATCGTATTCGGCGATTGTTGTACAGAGCGGTGCTTTCGGCGGCCGTTGCGGGTGCCTGGTGTCGGCATAGTTCTTCTAAAGCCTACTTTTGGTAACGTTCTCATCCGTTCAGGAACCATTGAATGCTCACTGGGCCTCTACTCCTTCATCAGGTTCCAGATCCATTCACGTCCTTCCATCACTTCGCTTCCTGATCCGCCCCCGCACTTCTCAAATCATCGGCATATGTGCGTACGTCCATATGGAGTCCTTCGTAACCAATCCTTAGCTATCCTGGTTCTTCCAAGCCCTAATAATTTTGAGCTCCACTCAGCTTGGTGTCAGGCCCACATCAAACCAGTCGGCCGCTAGGCATGACTAAAGGAACACCGCGAAGTCGATGTGCATGTCGCGCGTGCTGTGATTCAGATGGGAGAGCTGGAAGGCCAATCTTACGTCCACGTGGCCTTGCGCACCGCGGGGGATAATAGTGAAGACACGCGTCTGGTTGGGCCAGTCGTCAACGTGATGCTGGGAACAGATGTGGGGTATGTCCTTCGCCCTCAAGTTGCTCGGCGCCGACACAGCGATGGCCCAGTGAGCGCCTGGCGCTTCACTCGAACATACTCCAAGGTAGACCTCGACAGACATGTGCTCGTGCTCCCTACACAGAAATGTCAACTCCATGGGCTGCTCCCCTGTCCAAGGAAAGCTCAGGGGTCGCGGGATGAGATCATAGCGATATTGATGTTTCTGGAGCTCCCTGATATGCGACAGAGGAATTCGGAATGGGGAGTGTAGGCTGCGGTTGAGCTCATGCATCCCCGTCGTGTGCGCGTACCTCGAGGATTGCGAATGGTGTGCGATGTAGATCGTCTTCCATTCCACAGGACCTTGCGTGCCGGCGTGTGCACCTATCATGCGGTGATGAAAGTCCAACAGAGTCAGATGTCCGAATCGAGGGGCTTGGGACCGCGCTAGGGGCTCCCAGGGTACGTATCGCGGTCGTGTTGGATCTGAGTTGGCCTCGTCGGGCTTGAGGACGAGTCCGAGAGATCTTGCCTTTGAGCCTTTCAAACGAATGCCCAACAGTACCGCGACGATGATTGGCCAGGAGGATACCTCTAACTGGAAGACGGGGATGTGGGCTTGAAGACCGTAGGGCGTGATGGTGAACGTTGGCTGCTTCCCCAAAGGCAACTCCTGGTCACGTTTGCGCTGCATACACATTCGGTAAGCGTGTCGTATGTACAGGTGCGGTGTAAAGCCTCACCGCCTTGAAGTTATACCAAGGCGTCCTCTTCTTTGCGATGGTAATCTCGTCATACCTATATTCGATGTCGTGCCCCACAACGAAGGCAGACGGGGAGGGTGCGAAGACACTGTCGATGAACTGCGGCGACTGTGTACGCAAACCAGCCTCATGCTCGAGCTGCGGCTCTCCGTTGCACACCCTTCCCCAGGCGAAGATAGACCCGTCTTCTGACTGCTTCATGATCTTCTCTTGCAGCTTGCGGAACGCGTTCCTGCCTTCTCCATAGATCGCGGGCATGAAGATCCCGAAGATGCCCATCAGGCAGTACGCCTCGTCCTCGGGACGCGTCGTCTCGCGATCGGCCGCCCAGGCCATCCGGGCGGCGATGCAGTAGTCCGCGGGCACATTATCCAGCTGCAAAACGCCGACCGGCACCCTTGTGATGCTCTCCAGAAGAGGTGCCAAGTCCGCTTTCGTGCCCAACAATTCCCAGCTTTGGGACAGGAAGACAACGAGCTCGGGAGCGATCAGCTCCTGCAGCGTCCATCCGCGCCGATGCCACCTGCTCTTCCGGAAGGCAGATTCGGGCTGTTCGAGGACGTCGACAGAACTCGTAGGGACATCGTGCAGGTAGGCATAGCAGACGTCGGCGAGGGAGTAGTAGCGGTACATGGAGTTGATGGCTTCTGTGAGCTCGGCGCTGCTTGTCTTGTCGATGCAGCAGGTGTCGACCCACGCCCACTTGTGTCCGTGCTTCTCGGCCAGAATGCAGAAGTTGCGGATCTTCCCAGAGACAAGATCGCGAGGGGTGACCGGAGCATGGGAATGGAGAGCAAGAAGGTCAGTCGGCGCGTCAGAGTTTCCGGTGCGAGAGGCTTGGATGGTTGATTGTTTGGTAGGCGACTCGGAGTTAATGGACGATACGGCATTATCCGGACTCGGATGGGAGGGGAGCATAGCAACGGAGTCGTTCGAGAGCTGGGCGCATTTAGCACGAAGGTTTTGGATGTCCTGGAAGGTTGTCTCGTCTTTGCCCCAGACATGGGAGAGGATCGTGTAGCCCCCGGGCACGCTCTCGGGTGTAGGAAAGAACGCGAGCTCGGCGCGGGCGGTATTGAGCAGCCACATCCCGGTGTCAGCAGCCCTGGGCCGGGGCTGCACAGAGAATGTTATTTAGTGGTACATCGAGGGAAAGATGGGGTTCGGAGGTTAATAAACGCACTGGCCTAGTGAAGTCTTTGCGCGCTGGTATCGGAGCGCGGATGGTTTGGCTTGCTTGTCGTTTTCCACGTTTAAAAAGGAAGGGACAATGAGCGCAGCGTTCGATACAGTTAAACAAATCATCGATCGGTGACTGCGCCGCGTCGGCGCGAGGAAGCGCCGAGACGACACCACGGTCCCGTGACGAACGCGTTCAGGTTTGGGATATAGCTTCGTCCCACCGCTGCTTTGTGTCTCTTGGGGGAAAATCAGGCTGCATCGTCTACATTCTAGTGCCGGTCGGTCTCCGTAGCCGGACACTTGCGCGTTGGTGTGCCATTGCTTGAGGCGTTGGTCCAAGGCCTTCTCATCTGCACCAGAGCGAATGGGCCATCCGTCCCGATGGTCGATCTTGATGGGTGGTGACGCGGTGTCGTCGAATTCGCAGCCGTTCCTGGTGATGCGGAGTCGGAAAGGCCGGTCGAGGTAGCCATAGACACAGTTTGGCCCATGCTTCTGTGCGATATCGCCCAACTTGAGAACGGGTTCTTGAGTACGGAGTGAATGAGACTGTAAGACTTGAATATATCGAGACCGAGCGCGTACCCTATTGAGTGCTTCCCTGGCCCGATCCTCTTTGAAGGGCGGCTCGGGGAGTTCAGCGTACGCATGGTCGTCATCATCACTATGTTGCAAGCGATAGTCGACCTGATAGGATATCTCTGGGCCATGGAACATGGCAACTTCGTTGTCATGCCTCAATCTCTCCTTGATCTGTTCGACCTTCGGGGGGGGCAGTATCCGATATGCGGCAGAACTTGAACCTTGTCCATGGCGGGGATGAGCCTGAGCGCGGTGGGAGTGATTGAGGAAGTACTTAGAGGTTCGGGACCCGAGGGCTGCGAGGCAAGTGAAGCAGCCATTATTACAGGGTTTGTCCAACTAGTCACTTCATGTGCATACGTTTGCCGGGGACGACGAGTAGTGTTCTTCCTGTCGGCCGGGGGGAAGTGGCTGCGTCGTGCGGATGTTGAGGACATGGCGATATGCAGTCGTGACTGGATGGTGAGCGTAGGGAAACGAGCGCAGACGGTGCAGTGAGTATATATACTGTCGGATAGGGTTGAGTCTCCGGCGCTTGCTAAGAGGTGCGCGGTCCCGTGAGCGACGCGTTGTTGTGTGGTGTTTAGACGGAGCGCGGTTGGGTTCGCGGCGACGCCCACAGAGCCAAAGCGTACTGTTGATCCATGTTCGGGCTCGCATCCCCCGGCCGTGCCCACTGTCCTGCTCTCCCTGCTCCTCGTCGTCGTCGATTCTCTCTGTCCAAGGATTCTCGTCCTTCGGTTTCAGGTTTCTCGTTCCCTCGGGGTGCGGAGGAGGTGTCTAGTTGGCAAAGCGACCTTGCAAACGTAGCAAGGTGAGTATCCCCCTCCGTCGCCGAGTGCACCCCGCTCAGCCCACCGAGCAGCGGTAAGTAGCCAACCGAAGAATAGCAAGCAATTCAAGCAACAAGTAACGATCCTACGAGTCTACGACCTCTCTCGGTTCCCGACACGTCCAGGCATCTTTCCTATTTCCCCTCACGCACATCTCACGACTGCACATACGCTCTCCGTCTCTCTCACTTTTTCCCTCATCTCACTTATACTAACGATCTAACGCGACCTTACGCGAACGTCCACGACTCTGTTGTACTCACGATCCCGCACCGTCCTCCCTGTTTTCACGAATATCACATCTACGACGAGACACGAGCATAGAAGAAAAGATGCGTAACACACTACCTCTTCTCTCCCGCCCTCCCGCTCCCCACTCGTCCTTCTCCCGTGCACACTCTCCCGTCCCTCCGTCCGATTCGCCTTCGTCTCAACAGCACATGCCCACCATCCGTCTCATCTCTGCGACCCCGTCGGCGGCAGGTTCCGCAGGCGACGCCAGCACCTCCTTCGCCAGCTCCTCCTTCGTCTCCGTCGCCCCCTTCGCGTCCTCGTCTCCCCTGGCGCCCAAACCCGCCTCCGCAGACGCGCCCAAGAAGCGCCTCGTCCCCAAGCGGTCCAAGCTCGGTCTCCTCGGCGGCAGCAGCAAGTCGAAGGAGAAGCCTAGCAAGGACTTCTCCGACGTCGTCCGCCGCGTCGGCGGCGCGCCCTCCACGGGGCGTGGCGGCTTCGAGATCTACGTCGACCAGAACGACGACCCGGAGCTCGGGGAGATCGTCGTCATCAAGAAGAAAAAGTCTCGGCTTGGCCTGGACGGCATGAAATGGGGCGCGCTCGGTGAGACGACGAACATCCCCGCCGCTGCCAAGGAGCAGCCCGCGGCCGACAACCTGTTGAAGGTCAGCAAGGGCGACGAGAACCAGAAGTGGTGGAGTATCGGGAGAGGGAGGAAGGACTCGAAGGGCAAGGAGAAGGAGAAGGAGCAGAAGCCTCCGGCCCGCTCCAAGAGTGTGTCCTTTTCTCTTTATTCGCACTATGGCATGCAACTGACGTACCACCTCCCGTAGCACCCGAGCCTTCCAAGCCTCTCGAATCCCGCAACCGGTTCAACTCGCTCGACTCTGGCATCCTCCTCAACAGTCCCGCGTCGCGGCCCCAGAAGCAGGGGACGGTCTCCTCCGTCAAGTCTCTGCTGGAGGTCCCGGTCGTCACCACCACCCCAGTCGACGAGAACGCTCCCGCTTCTGCAAATGGTCTGCTGTCTGCTGACGCCGCCGTCCCTACTGGCTCCATCGCTGTGCGCGCGATCCGCTCGATGCGGTCGCTCGCGCGCATGGCAAGTTGGGCGCAACTCTCGAACGCGAATGAAAAGGAAGGCAACACGGGCGCTGCTAATGCCCTGAACGAGACGGTGACGACGAAGGCCAGCAAGCCCTCCAAGGAGAGCGGCGAGAAGAAGAGCAAGGATAAGGAGACCAAGGAGAAAGGCGAGGCGAAGAAAAAGAAGAAAAAGGACAAGGAGAAGCCGAAGGAGAAGGAAAACAAGGCGAAGGAGAAGCAGCTGGAGAAGGAGAAGGAGAAGATGACGAACACCATCCGCTGCTCTGGCAGCAGCTTCGAGGCGGGCGCGCTCAGCTCGCAGGGTAGCCCCGCCGCCGCAACGTACCTTCAGCCCGCAGACGCCGCGCGCACGCTCACGACGCGCAAGAAGCAGAGCATCCTCGGGCTCGGGCTTCCATCCACGATGCGCCTATCGACTGTGCGCGACGTCTCCGCTGGCTCGACCGCGTCTTCCGTGGGCCCCAGCAGTGAGACTGGGATCCCGCAGGCCCCGCAGCGCCTCTCGGTCGACTCGGCGCACCTGATCATGAACGCCCAGGGACGGCCCTCGTCGATCCTCTCCAGCGGCTCCTCGCTCCGGCCCCCGTCTACCATCTCGGGTATCTCTGTCGACTCGACGGGGCGCTCCGCGCGCTCGTCGAGCAGCTCGGTCGTCTCCGTCCGCTGGGACGACGCGGCGATCAAGAGCGTGAAGGAGATGACGCGGCAGGAGCGGCGCACGCGGCGCGAGCACGACCGCGAAAAGGAGCGCGAGGAGAAGGAGGATGGCAAGAAGACGAAGCGCGAGAGCAGGCAGTCGTCCGAGTCCCGCCGGCGCACGCCGATCTCCGATATCTTCCCTGAGACGCAGGTGGGCGCGCAGAGGCAGTCGACGGGTTCGCTGTCGCCCCGGGGCTCGCTCGCGGACCATCCGATGGTGCGCATTGAGGAGGCGACGGCGGACGGGCATTCTCCGCCCACAGACGACGAGAAGGTCGACGAGGGCGCGAGCTTGAGCGAGACGCCTGTGAAGCGGGCGAGGGCGCGTCCTGTTTCGGAGCAGATGCTTGGACGGCCGAGGCCGCAGGCGATTTGCGAGAACAGCGAGGGTGATGGTGAGTGGGAAGAGTTGTTTTGGTTTATGCGTCGTTACTGACAATATGACGTAGCTATGCTTTCACTTCTTGACGCTGCGACGAACGACCTCGCCTCGCTCATCAACCGCCTTGACCTCGAGGCGACTCCCGGAAGCACGGCCGGCACGCCTCTCAATTTGACACCTTTACAGATGCAGCAAGCGAACCAGGAGAGCCCTCTCAGGCGACGTGCAATGCTCCAGCGCGGGAGTCCGCTCAAGGGCGAGCTGCGCGAGAGCACGGCGTCCATCGCGTCCCTCCGGCCGTATGCGAAGTCGCAGTCGTCCGCGGACCCGCCTAAAATCTTCATCGAGCCGGCGCACACGCAGTCGAAGGCCACACAGCTCGTCGGGCAGCAGATCGCGCCATGGAACGAGCTCGACTGGAAGGTCTCGCCCCGGAAGCCCCTCGTCAAGCCCAAGCCCGCCGCGCACCTCACGCACAAGCGCACGCTCACGCCCTCCCCTGCCGACGCTGGGCCCGTTTTCCAGCCGCTCCGCCCTGCCAACACCAAGTCCAAGGCGACGTTGTTGGCGTCCGAGCCTGGCGTGCGCAGTGCGACGCCTCCCGTGACGGCGGAGGTCCCCGCGCCGTCCTCGCGCACGTTCGGCTCGCGTCCGTCCAAGGTTGGCCTGAAATCCTCCAAAGGCGAGGAAGACGTGCAGCCGTCCCCGACCCCTGTCTTCAGCCGTGTTGGGGGCCACCACCGCAAGGGCTCCTCGCTCGTCCCGATGAACAGCAAGGGCAGCATGGGCAGCCTGCGTCGGTTGGGCGTCACGATCACTCCGGAGGCGCGCAAGGGCCTCGGGCTGTGCGGCACGTTGGGGAGCTCGACGGAGCCGGACGTCGATCCCGAGGATCCGGACTCCGACATCCCGGACGAGCTGCAAGTCATCCTATCTGGTCAGAGCGACGAGGAGAACACGCGCCCGCTCAGTCCCTTTGACGATACGCTGTCGTTCAGGCCGCCGCCGTCGCCTGGCTCCCCGCCGAAGAGTGCGTTGCCTGTTCCTGAGCAGCCCGCAGAGGGCCAGGAGAAGGAGCTGCCTGTCTTCCAGGCGCAGCTGTTTGACGCCGATGCCAACAAGGCCGAGCTTGACGATGGCGAGCGCAGTCCCACGTCGCCTTCGGAGGACGACACCAAGAAGTCGTTCGACTTTACGGGCGAGCTGAAGAAGCTGAATGAATCTGGCGGCTCCGACCGCGCGAGCTTCGTCGAGCAGCTCGAGACGGCGTTCAAGACCCCCGCGCGCATCGAGCTCGAGTTCGACTTTGCTGCCGACAGCCTGCTTGCGCCTCCCGTCCCACCGCTCCCGCAGAATTTGCGCCCGGCCCCTGCGGAGGACATCCCCAAGAGCTTCTCGAACTTCAACGAGACGACGTCGCTGTATGGCGGGTCGGACGAGACTGGGAACCGCGACTCGGGCATGTCCCAGGACCAGGAGCACGACATCAGCTTCATGATGCGCGAGCTCGAGGACCAGTGCCGCGTGTACCCGCCCGCGAAGTCGAGGTCGCGCCAGTCGTCGATGCAGTCTAAGCCTTCTGACGGCCGTCTCAACCGCGAGTTCAAGTTTGGGGGCAAGCCGGTCGAGCAGGGTTCCTCGACAACCACGGAATCAGATATCGTGCCGCTGACGCTTTCGGACATCATCCCGCCGTTGTCGCACTCGCGCGCGCAGTCGAAGAGCTCGATTGTTGAGGAGGACAGCTCGGTCCTCAAGTCGATCTTGGCGAAGGCGGCTGAGATCTTGCCTGCCGAGGAGAGTCGCTCGCGTGTCAACTCGATCGCGAGTTCTAAGCTCCACTCCTCATCAACACAGCTGGACCAGACGGCAAACACGCAAGGCCACTCCCGCGAGCCGTCTGCTGCGAGCTTCACTGGCTTCGAGTCGTTCGACGAGGTGCGACGCGGTTTCGAGTTCGGCCCGAACCGTCCTGCGTTCTACCCGCCGTCCCAGGCTGTCTTCCGGCCTCAGCATGGCCGCGACATGTCCGTGTTCAGCATCGCCTCCGTTTCTTCGTACGGCGCGGTTGTCAACGATGGTACTCAGGATCCTTTCGGGTATGCGCAGGAGGGTCCCAGCCGGCCACCGTCGATGGACGACATCTCAATCTCGATGTCCATGTCGGTCGACGACACGTTCTCGTTCATCCGCCGGGCTAAGCCGCGCAGACGCGTCGACAGCGATGCTTCGAGCTTCTACTTCCAGCCGTCGCACATGATGCATCCGTACCGTCGTGGTCACCGCCGCGGGCCTTCGGCAATGTCCGTCTCGTCGAACGCGCACGGTCCCCCCGTCAGCTTGTACAACCGCAGTTTCGGCGTGCACGCGCACAAGAGGAACGACTCGAACACGAGCGCGAGCTCCGTCGCGCTGTCGTACGCCATGCACGGTGCTAACGGTGGCCGCGCGGCGTGGGCGAGCCACACGCGCGACTTCTCGGTGGACTCTATCATGAGCGACTATTCGGAGCGGCCGATGGCGCGTCCGGGCTTGGGCGACAAGATGTTCGACAATGCCCACGGCGCCCCGCTCAGCGCAATCTCGGCTTCGCCCGAGAGCACGTACAGCGATGAGCGCGAAGAGGCGAACCGGACGTCGTGGGACTCGATCATGGACAACGAGACGGGCAGGTTCACGTCCGCAGTGGAAGACTCGCTGTTCGACAAGACTGGGAAGCGGACGTCGATGTCATCTGAGTCTGTCTTTGGCATCGACCCGTCGTTCGCCCAGTATGCGCGGTACCTTCCTAGTCAGCAGTACCGGCCGTTGTCAATCATGAGCGAGCAGAGTGTCCATAGTCCTGTCAAGGAGGACGATACCATGATCACGGTATGTGATATGTCGATTCTTTGTGTTTGCTGTATTAATCGCTATATGGCATAGATGCTCGGCGGCGGACATGTTCGTAGGAGGTCTATCAGCTCCTTGGTTGAGACTTCGCCCTGCGTTCGTATGGAGCGCAAACAGCACACGGCACACCCTGGGCGCATCCTTCAATTCGACATGATTGAGCCCTCTGCGAAGGAGTCGCCAGCCAAGACCTCGCGGCTCGTCGCACAGCCTTCCATTGCTTCGACGTCTTCGTTCCAGTTCGGTGGGGAGCGCATGATCAAGGCGCGCCAGGGACTGCTCGAGCGTCAGAGCTTGGAGGACAGCGCACTGATCGCGCAGGGAGAGGACTTATTGGATTCTTGTCAGTATGCATAGCTCCGGTCCTGATTCTGACGCTAACGTTTCTGTTCGCAGTGCGCGAGCGTTCCATCTTCAGCAAGCCAACTTCGGCTGGACGGTCGCGATCAAGTACTTGCACCTCAGCTTCGTCTGGTGTGGATACGCCTCCTCTCTCGTCGTCGGATGGTTCTTCGGTATCTGGCGGCTCTCAATCCAGCATCGACATTGGACACCTCAACACCCTGCTCACTAACGCCTCTCATCCCAGCAGTGGTGTCGCCCGAGCCCGAGCGCGTGCTCGGGCCAGAGGCACAGGTCATCGCCGCAGGATCGACCAGGCTCGGATGTCTCGTTCGTCCGTGTATGAGACTATTGAAGAGGAAGCATCTGTCCTCGCCAGCTCGCCGTCGACTCAGCGCTCTACCCCGCAGAGTCTCGCGAAGCAGGCGGTAAATTCGAGCGCGATGATGAACGATTCAGTCTATATCGTCGAGAGCGACAGGGACTCCGTCTACAGCGAGTATAGCGATGAGCATGGCATTACGACCCTTCGCAGGTACTACGCACTGCGCAATGAGGCTCAGGTTACTGTCGACGAGAGCAAGCGTATGTGGATGGATACTCCCTTCTCCCTCTTCGCGTTGCAATGTGAGTTGTCTTCCGAGCCATTGCAACGCTGTCCGCTGACATAGACCTTCAAAAGCGTTCCATCCTCCCCGCGAGCCCATTGCCATGCAAGCCTTGCTCGAGCACTCCCAGAAGAACTATGGACCTCTTCCTTCCGAGCTCCGTCCCCATCGCGTCCGTTCACGAACCTCGTCAAGACCCTCGCCGTATCCCCTCAGGAGCATGCGGTCATTGACCTCTCCCGAGAGGACCCGCTCGTCGCCCATGCAGGTCTTCACTGATGCCCCGAGCAAGCCGTTTGCAGCGTCCCTCCACGATCAGACCGTTTTGCGTGAAGTCCAACGGAACACGAACGTTGATGTCCCCACGCCGCCACCGGTGTTGGGTGAGATCAAGCCGTTCACGCCTTTCAATGTCGAGCTCGAGACGTCCAAGCAGGGCAAGAACGCCATCGGCCTCCCTGCGCGCCCGCGTGTCACTTCGAGTACCCGTCGTGCGGCCCTTGGATGGTCGAAGCGGACTGGCAAGTCGAGCACGCAAGAGTTCAAGGAGAACTCGGCCATAATCCCTACGTAAGTTATCTGTCGCACCATCTTTGTACGAGTTTCCGCTCATTGGTTTTACTGCAGTCCTTCCGAAACCCTTAGGATCAACCGCCCACGGCCTCGCGGCCGGCCGACGCCCGCTCGGGTACCTGTACCTGCTGCATAAATCCTTCTCATTCCATAACTAGCAATACCACACATCCATCGCCTACCGCCGCCTTCGCTTCAGACGTCCACTCGATCAGCCGCGGACACTCTCAGCCTATCCGAAGCAGGTCGCGCATCATCTCATCTATGCTATGAACATATCTGTCTATGCTCCATCAACGTCTCGTCTCGTTTCACATCACTTGGATCTTGATGCTTTCTTGCAACTCAAATCGCAAATCAACATCGCTGTACTGTTTGCTTTCTTTCGTTCACGCTCCGCCTTCTCTCTCCCGGTACCTGGAGATGTGGCTTGCTGGGCTTCCTTGTCACGGCGGAAATGGTCAGCATGGGCCGCTCACCGCGGCTAGGCGGACGTTTCTTGGTCCATCTCGGAGTTGTCTGCATTTCGCGCGAGATGCGATTGTGCATATTTGACTGTACTTCGCTATCTCGTATGCAGCTCGGCTCCTAAGTATCGCTCTGTCTCATCAGTATATCGTAGCACTGTGTCTTGTATTCGTCGAGCGAATATATGATACTTTGTTATACAAATTCCTCACCTCGGCATGTCTGCGAGCAGCAAATAGAGCCGGAAGATCTAGGTGGTTCGCCTAGTCAATTCACCTCTGTTCTGAGCTGGCACGATATCCATCAGGATTGCGTCTTGCCGTGTACCTGAAGGAACGGGCGTGACGATACGGATGTCCAGATATATGACTATCCACGGATCAGGAATCGACCGCGAGCAAAGTATGTCTCAGTGCTCTAGGTCCTGTACATGATTGACAACCCCGCGGCTGTCTTCACTGCAATCAGCGAGTCAGTGCTAAGCCCGCTCTTCACTTATCCTACATAGACTGATGTTACATTCATCACTTCTTCGAGTCTCATAGCATACAGAACCAAGGTGAGCACTGCAGCGGTGCGGCTGTCATGCAGTCGCATCGACCTCGGGCGAGGTGACGAGGAAGTAGTTCGCTCCGACCAGCTTCAGCCCGTACTTTCCCGCAAACGCGATTGGATCCCAGCTACGCCGATCTTCCAGAGCTGCGCCATACTCGGGGGCACCTTGAGGCACGGTGAAGACTTCCGGGCCTGTGGGCTCCTGGAACAGGAGAAACGCTGGGTAGGAATAACGCACGAGTAAGTTGACGAGCGAGAACGGTAGCCTGAAGGAGGTCTGGGGCTTCTTAGTAACCCGATATTGAGCAACACTCACTATATCTATGGATTCCCGAGTTGGGACGCGGTCCTGGTGGGCGATAGGGAGTCGTGGATGGGTGTGTCTTGAGCGCATTGAGCGCCTCCGCCGAGTTGGATTTGACGGCGGGTGACTTTAGACCCGTGATCTGCGAGGTTGGGTGCATTGTCAGTCCGTTGAGTCTGTGACTGGCAACCTGATACAAGCTACGCACAACCCAGTGCCTAAACGATCTGTACACCGCGTCCGTCCTGTATGGCGCGTCGGGATCAAGCATCACGAGCGTGTACGATGTTTCGGACGCGTCGTCCCAAGGGCCGTTGAGCGCAGCAAGTCGGACCTCCGGTTCATCCTGCGTCTCCTCTACTGTCATATTGTTTCCGAGGTTCACCTCTGCACCGTTGGGGTATATGATCGAGAAGAGGACGGTGGGGGTGAAGGTGTATGACGCGGGGACGACATCGGGGATGATCTGCTCCCTTTGCAGGGCGGAGACGATGGCGTGGAGTGGGTCAGAGGACATGGCAGCGGGTGTAGTAGTCGATGAACGCGCTGGTATATGTTGAAACGCGCTAATAAGTATTCAGGACAACGACGCTTGCAGTGGGCCCTGAGGTCATCCGAAGCCGCGATGTCTGCGGAACCGAGGCAGCGGCCCGTCACCGGGACGCCCTTGCCGCCAAGGGAAAGTTGGCACGTACTACATATGTAGAGTACACATTAGGGAGGGAGCGATCGCACCAGTTGATTCAGAGTTGTTGACTTCCAGATATCTGGAGTCTCCCAGGCCGAGATATCCGTCGGATAACCTGGGGAGCATCAAGATGAGTGACGTCTACTCAGAGGCTGACGCTGAGGCAGCCTCGACGCGGGTGCGCAAAATGCACCGTGTTCATGCCAATGGATGCGAAGGCGGATAAGTAGGTACATCTCCAGCCTGGAGATGCACCAGCTGGACAGACCCGGAGCGCTACGGATTTAGCCGGATACATAGGCGTCGATCCACTTTCTGGATAAGCAGAGCGCTCTAGTACGCGCAGATAGTCATCCTCTCAGACATCCAAGGAACTTAGACAGTCTTTGCCCAGCCCCGTACCGGTGCCAGTCCCCAAGCTTGAAGTAACAGACGTGCACTTGCTTCCTTTCCTCGGCTGCCCCACAGGTTATGCAGCTTGGTCCCCCCCGCTCTCTGTGGTACCTCCTGCATCTCACAAGCCCAGCAAGTGCTCTGCAGACTGTGTTCATCGGCGACGGGTTGAACTTGTCAGAGCGGCCGTGCGGGTGCAATATGACAGTACTCCATTTGGGACGTCTGGATATCCAGCGAGAAGGACTAGGTTGTACACGTTCCTCCATGCGAGTCAAGTCATCTGCACAATTCACGACCGGCCGGACTGCTACGGGGACATTACGTTCGTTCTTCTAAAGCTCCCTTGCGAGTCAACGCCAGATATCCTTCCTGCGCTCCAAGTTCGAACGCTACCAGCGCAGACTGATCATACGTCGCTGCTATCCATCCAGGGCCACACCTCCAATATCCGATCTTGAAATGGAGTATAAAGCAGGCCAGTCGCCTTCAACTACTGCCGTCAGTCCTTTCCTCTGCAAGGTGTAGTACTCGGTACTTTATCATTGGTATACCAAGCAGTTTTTCTGACGATTGGCTGCAGAAATGGAAGCGCATTGGCAGCAGTTCCTAGAATACTCACAACCTTTGGATGATGGAGGGCTTTCTGACAGGCCACTCCCCACACGCACGTCGCCGCATACGTTCGCAATGAACGTCGCTGCGCCTGAGGCTCACCACCTGGAAGATACCCACTACGACAATCCAGAATCCGGAGTTTGGACGACTACTATGAAACTCTGGGGTTCGCGGGAGTTCGACCCCATGGACGATCATGTGTATGGCCCTATTCCTGCCCTATCTACTTAGCACTGCTCATTATCACCATAGCTACACACCCCGCCTACCTACCACAGAAGGATACGCGGCCTTCAGCTTCAGCAGTGACCCTTATGTGCAATCTCCTTACATGCCGTCGATTGAGGACCGCCAATACACCATTGCTTCCACGGGCTCGATGGACTCTTATTCTGATGTGTCGATGCCGCATGCCGCATCTTCCGTTCCTGCGTACAATTCCCCGGTGGTCTCTCCAACATATGTGTCTTCTCCGGCCTCGATGTACCAAGACTTGGCCCCAATCCCCGGTGGAGACGCGCCCGAGATGCAGATGCCGGTTCACAGGGACTCGATCTCGGACAGAACCGACTCCGACCCCGAGTCTGTCGTAACTCCCTCCGATGCAATTCCTTCTGGCGCAGGCGCATTCGACGTCGTTCTGGAGGCAGAATCGCTGGTATACCGTGTAGGAGCATCCAACGATCTGGTTTGCGTATATGGTGGTCAGGTGAGTGAGAAGCGTGCCGGCATCTGCATAACACCCTCATGATCGTACATATGGAATTACAGAGGCTGCTCAGGCAACGGTCGTATACGAATAGATCATGCAAGCGGTACAGCACTGAAGACCTGGATCGCATCAAGTATGAGTTTGGCTGCAGGCTGGACAGGGCACAGCTCGGCAAGAACGGTAGTGGCATCGCGGAGTACGACTCCCAAGGATTTCCAAACAAGACCTTCGGTCAGAAGGCATCTTTCCGGCTTGAAGTACGTCATCTTTCACCTGGGGCCATTAAACTACTGCAACCTGAAATATACGTGATTCAGTTCGAAGGCTATCCGCCGTACACCTTCCAGATCAATGTAACCGGTCTTAAAACGGGTCAGCCTACAAAAGGTCGCTTCGCGCAGCTTACGGCTCGTGTGATGGAGCGCTTCATTGTGAGCATGTAATGTTATTGTCAGACTCTGATTTACCGACCAAATTGCAGAACGAATGCCCCCAGATGTGCGGACGAAGGTTCCCATACGAGCTGAAGGACCTGGTATTGCGCGAGATCGTACTGATCCCGGAAGCCAGCGTCCAGCCCTTCTTCGCTCTCTCGGAGGACGCGCAAGCATAGACGTTCCTACATCTTGCGCTATCCTTCTCCTTCAGATGTGCTTTGCGCACATCGCACACGTCCTGCCTGATGCAGACTGTAGAGCAATACCGATACGCTGCCTTCTATCGTTAGACGTACTTGAAACGACATACCGCCTACTATCACGTACCTACCTATATAATCGGCTTCACCCACGATCTAGAATAATGTCCACGACTGGGGCGTGCCTCTGGGGTGTATCTTTAGCAATGGTGTCGTCACTTGAGTGGCTATCGGTGCGGGGCCTCACAAATGCTGCCTCCTGTTTAATTAATTGGGCACGCAATCGCCTCTTGCAACCCGCCGACTGTCATAGCGTTCCGTAGACTAGTAGTGGCTAAAAGCCATGAGTCGTCGATTTGCTGGCGTTGCCGTCGGAGGCGGAGCGGCTGCGGGCGCTGTCGGGGTCTCAATATCTTGTGGTGAATGGTCTCGTCAGGGCGTTAATGCTTCCGTTCTCTGACTTTAACGTGACACTGACAGTGCCCTCATCGGTTTGCATTCAACATAGGCCGTAAGTCATCACATGCGGACGCGTATAAACGTACTAAACTCCTTTCCTCACGTAGGTAGCCAGTGCTGGTGGAAATAGTGTCCCATGCTGGATGTAGCGCAGTGGCAAGCTCGGGCTTCAGGCCACCGTAATGATTTGGTGTACTCCTCCGGGGGTTTCAGACATTGCCTCGACCTTCATCCGTCTCATCCGGGTTATCCTGTTTACTCAGAATGCTGCTGTGGTGACCTCACTTAGATATCGTCAGGGTCAGCTATGAAACTGCTCGGCTCCGGGAGACCGGAGTCGAATACTAGCAGGAGTACACCCAGATGATAATGCCGTCTCCTTTGTTGTTATTTGCAGAAATGTGCCACCTGCCGTGGTTCCTCTGGCGGTAGCATGGATGTATCTTGTACTTATTTGGGACAGCGTGTTGTAAATCTAGCGGGCATGGAGACCAGATAGCGTGGCCTCGTGCCTGTGGTTCGTGGCCATCACTCCGATCATCTCGCACTTCGACTTGCCGCGGATGTCTGCAATCGATAGGTGTGTAGTGTTTGACTCTTGTGCAGCTTTCTGGATTCTAACCATCATTTATGCCTCGATGTGCCACGCTTTGGTGTCTTCATCGTTGTCCGGCAGGTCAGATCTCCTTCGGGGCGATGCTCGGCGACATCCATGTTGTAGTGTTTGTGGACAGGCGATGCGTCCAGCATGTACGAAAGGTGCGAGCAAGCACCACAACGGTTGTTGTTGAAGGGAGACACAGTCTCGGTCCAAGCGCAAGCTCTATCTGACCGGTGCCTCCATAGCCAGCGAACGTCAATGGCAGCTCCAGGTAAATCCTGGCTCACTCCCTGTGCTCCCGCTTGGTAAGTCTGCTGATGCCTCAAGCCCAGCCCCAATTATCTTGTACCTCAAATGACCAGCACATCTGCTCCGTGGTAACGGAAGTATGATCTTGCCTCGCGTGGATGGATGGATTTCAGGCAATCCAAGGCTGAAACTCATGCTCCTCGTGCTCACTCAGAAATCCACTCCGTCAAATGTGCAGCTATAAGATGTCTGCTGCGCGGTGTGTCTTTCATTCGCTCTACTTTACAGAACTCACTTCGAGTCTCACGTCCAACACCCAAACTCAAGTCTCAACACACCCAGCATGAGCAGCAGCCTTTCAAATGCCCTGCGCGTCCCAGCCCGGATCGCTGTGAGACATTCGATGCTCATTGACGTACGAAGCTGACCAGGTCGACAGTTGCATGAAATACCCGAGAATGCCGTGGTAGTCGAGGAAGGCGGCTCGGCCTTCGTGAAGATAGGTGGCAGATGGCGCTCGCAAACGGTGCATGGTGTAGAGCTGCCTGTGCGTCCCCTTCCTCAGTCGGCGCGCATTGTCATTATTCAACCCATCTCGACTTGTAGCTTCAGCAACAATTCCGTCCCGGAGCTGTTATGCAAGTTCCCTATGACAGAGAGGCTATATACGTCTTTAGCCCTCAAGCTCAAAGCTGGTTGCTCGCAAATCCTAGACCTGACGGCTCGTTTCAATTTAGCGTAAGTTCAATCAAACCTCTGCTATATCACCATAGTAAACCCAGTGATGCTCTTCAGGGACACACGCAGATCAAGGTAAGAGTGGAAGCCTTGCAGCGTGAGTCATTAATCGCTCATGTGTACCTCGATCCGGCAGGTTGTGCCCCATCAGCTATATGCTTCTCGCAACTTCAATGGAGACCCCGAGGAAGTCCGATACAATCTTTCTCTAGGGTTGCTGGAAACGAACTGGGGTCAAGTGGCAAACGCAGATGCCGTTGCGTTCACCGGTGAGCTTACGACCAAGGCGAAAGCTACCATCCGGTATCAAGTGAGTATAGAATGGCGGGCCCATAAGCCATCAACGGAGACTGACATCCGGTCCTTGGTCTCTCATAGTTCGAGCGATGGCCCTACAACGAGGAGCAGGTGCACTTGCAGCGAGGTGGCAAGCCAATCACTCGCGGCGAGCTGGCATTCGTCATCGCTCAGCAGATGAAGAAACTGATCGTGAGTCCTCCCATGATCGCATGTATGCATCAAGCTGATTCTCCGTTGACTCGCGATAGATGGAAATGAAGGCGCGGAACCAGCCGCTGAGGTTCGACAATAGCAACAGAGAAGTCATGCTCTCAGACTTAGTTCTGATCTCAGTGAAGCGCGTGGCGGAGGGTAGCGTGCAGGCCATCCTTGGCATCCGCCAACACTAAGTCGATTCAAGCTGCCCAGGCGTTGGCGGCCGAATCCTGTTACCATTTCTTGGATCTCGTATAGCGTATACGCTCTAATGTGCTTACTGTACCATACTATTTATCGTGTATATTGACCCTCAGCGTTTCACCGTGCGGGTCCGAACAGTAATCACACAACGACTGACAGCGGCTTAAATCGTAAGTGACGAGCTTTCCTCGTCTTCCAAAGACGAAGCCGTCAAACTACTGCAGCATAGTCGTCGTCGACAGTCTGACTTCCACACAATTTGTCTCAGAACGTACACTATACTTCCCTTCTGGGAGACAACGGAGGAAGGCCCCAGTGCCAGATTGACGCATCAACTTCCCATAGAATTATGAAGGGCTTGCACGCATGCTTACAGCTCGCTCCGATACGCTGGAAGGTCGGGCCGTTGGCATACGGTCAGAGGACGAGAGCTGCCAGTGCTCTTGCCGGCGAGTTTACAGAAGGTCAACGACTCTTCTCCTGGGAGAAATTATAGCAACGACCTTGCTGAATTCCAATAGGTCTCCACCGCGCGTCACGACGAGATCCCCTCGCACGCTGTCCGCCTTCACACCCAGCAGCTTCTCGAGGTTGACCGACGCGAGCGCGAGCGCATCGGCCTTCGATAGTGCACCGTTCGACTCCAGCGCAGCCTGCACAGTGCGATGAGATGAAATCCGCTCCCGAGGGAAGCTATTCACATACCCATGCAAGATCGAAGCGGGCATTGCGGGCATCCCAGACCTCCTTGATGCCCAAGCCGACAGTGACACCGTTCTCGGCGAGCGTCAGTACAGCATTCTTCTCCGTCAGCGGTGGCCCAGCAATACTGAGAGTAATGGTGAGTCTTCGAGCTACATGGGTGTACGCAGCATGACGAGTACTCACATCCGCCGCTCCTCCCAGTCGTTGGGGAATGGCCGCGCCGGATTGAGAATAACACCAACGTTTGCAGCGCCCAGCTCCTGTGCGAGGAGATGCGCTTCCGACCCACCAATAATGGTGAGCTTCAACGATGTATGGAGCTTGGACTCGACTTCAGCCTTGAGCGTCAGGACTGAAGCAATGGTATCCGCGCTGTTTGCTTCGACAACCAACGGAACCTCTCCCTGTGCAAGACGCATCAACTCGAGCTTCCAGCACGTCAGGTAGATCGAAGCTCTCAGCATACCTGCTTAATCTTACCAAACCACTGCTTGATGTCACCGTTCGTCTCGCTCAGAAGCAAGTGGCGAAGCGCCGCGATCTGCGTACTGACACTGGGCGATCCAACAGGGTGGATTGCGACGTGCACTCCGCCGCTCTCCTGCACGAGCGCGCCCTTCTCGAGCTTGTGGCGCGCGCCAGTGGAGAACGCGGTGTTGAGTCCCGCGAGGAAGCCCCGTGTCTGGGGCGCCACAATGCCACTTGTCACACCAGCCCGATACGCCAGTCTGATTGTCTGATATCAGTACAGCAAGACCATGAGAGCCGAATGCACGAGTACATACAATGCGTCTCGGGTAGCAAATTGAAGACCGTCAGCCGCCCGGATGAGAGCGCCAGACCCGCCAACAATCTCAGGCACACCTTCCGTGAGGGCGTCGAAAACGTACCCATCTTGGGTGGACGCTTCTTGGTCGATCTCTTGCAGCCCAAGCGGCGCTCCAGCGCTGACGAGACCAGGAGCGATTGAGCCGCCCTCAAGATCGACAAACTCCGCATCCTCATCACCATTAATCGACTGCGCGCATGCACTGATCCCGGAGTCGACGCACATAAGCTGCCCATCGCGTACCACCGCGACTCCTGCGGCAAGCGCATTAGACGAATCTGCGGCAAAGGCCTCCCGCACAGTATACTCTTCCCGCAGGAAGACGCTCGAAACATTCGTGAACACCACCGTGTTCGATTTTGACCGCACAGGTTCCAGTGGGGGAAGTCCGTCGTGCTTCAGGGTCTCGTTCACCTCCTTATCGAAGTTAGGCGTCTTCGGTAACTTTTGGAAAGACGCCGGCTTAGATAGGAGATGCGGGGCCGCTAGCTGCGCAATACCGTCGATCCATACTTGCTGTGGAGTCGCCCCGAGAGCCAGTGGGTGGCTGTCCCAAAGAACAAGGTCTGAGAAGCCAAGCGGAGATAGAATTCGTGTTGAGTATGAGCGTGTGTACGATCGGTTCCAGCTTACCGGCATCATATCCTGTAGTAAGCGTTCAGAAGGCGTCAGCCGCTGTCTTCGCTTCGCAGTATGTGACGAGGAAGGAAATAGAGCTTACCTTCCTGGACGTAACCGATGCGGTGGTCCTGGCCCAATACCTTCGCGGGAGTAGTCGTGACAGCGGCGAGCGCGAGGTTGTGGGGCAGTCCGTAGTAGTGCGCTTGTTGCGCTTCGTACACGAGGTAGCGAGAGTTCAATACTGGATGATCGGACTGGACGAGCAACCCTTGAGCTATCTGTACACAAGTGCTGGAGAGTACAACCTGCCTTCATAACGACTTGCAAACCGTGGTCCGCGAGAACACGCGGCGCGAACTCTGATCCGCGATATGCCTCGCGTTTGTAGCGTGCCTGCGTCGCAAAGAGCGCCACTGCGGGAGGGTGTCCTGGACCAACAAACGATCGGTGGCTGTGAGACGTCTGATTCGCGCAATCCTTCTTACCGTACGCGGACTTGAGGACGTCTGGCACGAGGTAAGTCTCGTGGGCGTGGTGGAAGGCGGCGATCGGGAACTTGAACTCGTTGCTGATCTGGGATTTCGTGAGCCGACGATTGTCTCTTCATTATACATCATAGGCTCAGATTGCTTACCCTGACGAGGTCATCCAAGTCGACGGTCTCGTAGCAATGCGTGTGAACCTGGAGCGATCTGAGTTCTAGCTAGCGCGGGAGGATCGCCCACACGCATACCTTAACACGACCACGCAGGACATCCACGAGGGCCTCCCACTGCAGATCTTCCGGGTAGTCGCCGAGCCCTGCCCAATCGCCTCTTGTGGCCTTCGTGCAAAAATTATCTTGGGCTTCCATGATCTTCCGAGCGTGCTCGTACGCCTTGCGGAATGCCCATGCAGTGTCCATACGAGTGTTCGAATAGACTCGGTCTATTTATGGCAATATGAGCGTGGCGTGTAGAGGGATGGCAGTTGTAGACGCACCTGGATTCTCGCCACACGCATGCCTTGACTGCAATGAGCGGGGACAGTGGGTGAATAGGAAAATGGTTCACATACTTCATGTGGCGGTAGCGGAAGTAGGCATGCGGGTCGTAGACGCTGCCATTGCGTTCGTATGGATTTTCAAGGAGCTTGCCGGTGGGCGCGCGGTCAGCCGTTGAACGGAGCTTGATGAGAATAGCTTGTCCGCCAATCGCGTTAGCGGACCCCGGGAGCACAAGGGCAGTCTGGGTAGCATTTATTGAGTTCGTCTTGCAGTGATATGGCATACGCTTACCGTAAGGCCTCCGGCGATGCTCAGCTTGTACGCATCGTCACGAGTGTTCAGGCCGTCAAGGGCACGGAGCCACTGTTGCATATGCGTTAGCGCGACGAGATGACAATGGAAGCCATGAAACATACAGGCAGGACAGGGCCCTTGAATGAATTGGTGTCGTCACCGCCGCGCAGCTCAGGCACGCTATCGACACCCCTACATACCGACTATCAGTTTTATATCGGAACGGTGGCATCGTCACTGACAGGTGACTATGTAAGTCAATAATGCTGGGCACAAATGTATCAGTGAGGCCAGGAGCTTAAACAGTAAGCGACCCACCCTGGGGAGACCCATTGTCCTTGAGCGTCGACGCGGACGAGATGCGCGTACTGGTCGAGCAAGTCATCATCAACGACGCCGACCCGCTTGATGAGACCCCCGTCAAGTAGGATGTCGCCCCGAAGCACTTCTAGACCGTCGATTCTTCCCGTCCAGATCGTGGCATTCTGTTTAGCAAATGATCAGTCCCGCGCAACGGAGTAAATATGGGGGAACAGCCTTCATGTACCGTAATCAATGTAGGTCGAGTCCCAGGGACGAAACGATCGGATTGCGTCCGAGTGTTGAAGTCCTCCGGAGGACCGGGTTCCACGTCCAGGAGCTGGCATTTTTCCAGCCACTCTGCAGCGCGTAAAGGAACCTGGGTGCTCTCTCGGGACGGCCGGATGACTTCAGAGTAGAGTCGCGCGTATTGGAATGCCACCAAAGAGAAGGTGATTGCCAAAACAACCCGTAGACCGCGAGAAAGCCGGCGGCTCTTGGGCTGCGCTGGCACGTGGGTATATGTGGGGAGCTTCATATGCTCGCCTACCATATTGGCTCTATCCGTCGACGGGTAGATGGAATGGTATACGTGTAGGACGAATATGGCGATACGACGGATTGCTCTGTAAACGAGTTCATCGACTTGGCCAACAAGAATTCGGCACAGAAACCTACTTGACAACAGCGGCCAGATGAGACGCCGCTGCTGCGCTGTCTATGAGTACTGTGCGACTGATGAGCTTCTTGAGGACAGCACAGAGGCAGTTGGCAACGCGCGTCTGAGCGTCGTGGGTTGGGTTGGGAAGTATAAGTAGTCGCACGCCATTCTACACGCCGATTGCCGCTTCCCGAAACGTAACCGAGCGCTATTTAAACAAGACGTCAAATCTCATCGACTAACGAATTTGCTCAATTAGTCCGAGCGAGATCACTATGTTCGCGACGACACCAGTGTCACCCTGATCTGACCGGCACAATGCAGACATCGAGTTCTGAAGCGGCAGAGCCGTTGATCTTGACGCTCCACGCTGCCACGCTGGTCGAAACTGCCCACTGGGAGATGCCACGTGGAGGCCGCACTTCCGCCGCGCCAGGGCATTCGAATCCCCCTCGCCGTGGAATCCTCTGCAAGCCTCTTGCCACCTTGTCATCTCCTTTAGGTCCCTCTGTTGAACATCTGACGCTATTCGTCTTGCTCCACTTTCCACCGCCTCCTCAGTACTCAGTCCTCTAAGCTCTGATAGGCGCGAAGCTTGGCCTCGCTTCAACCGATCATCCTTGGCTCACCGGCTTCGGCTACCGGATGCCTGACAATGGCTTGTAAATGAAGACCTTCCGATGACACAGATCGGCTCGATCTACATGCAACGTGTTTTAGGCCAGGCAAGTCACACTGCGCAACACAAGTGCACATATGGATACATTTCGGGGTCTACGTTACTGTACTAGTGCGATAATGGGTCTTTTGCGTGAGTACAATGTGATTATGTTCTACAATAGGATATGGCTGACTTCATGGCAAGGCTCTTCCGTGATTCTCCGACGCGATACAAGGCATTCCCCGCTGCATCCTTTCCGCACTGCACTTAGCCATTACTCCGGATCCCGATGATAGGCTGGAAGCTGCCGCGCGAGATGTGCTCGATCCGCAGCAGAACCACCTTATCGAAGTCCACTTCGGAACCACGTTGCAGGAGCGGTTCTCCCTTTTTCTTCGCATGGGCCTATCCAGACGAAGGTGAGTACCCTCATGAGGTCAACCGAATGCGAGACTGTAAGACGCTCACCATGAGCTTCTTTAGTTCGAGCCCCACCGTCGCCGCCATCTCGCGGAGCGTGATGGGTTGTGCCGGACGGCCTTGCCCATCTCCATGTCGTACTCGAACTTGCATGGTGTGCCCGGGAAACTGAGGTAGCTGAAGGTACGGGTTGTAAGAATTCTGAGGCGCAGTCAAAACCCGTGTGGTATACCTACCTCGAATCGGATCGACGCTTTTACGCCAATGGACGCGTTGGTGTCGAAGGCGGGTTTTTCGCCGTCCACGAGGGGCTCAAGCGTTGCCAGCAGTACCCCGTTCTCGCCGTTGAAATAAATGGGACCTGCCGGTATGCCCTTGACGGCCTGTTTGCGCGAGTATGTGCCTTGCTCGAGGTGCTCGATAACGGAGATGGAGGGTGCGGCATTAGGTGGGACGAGAGCAGCGTCGGTGTAGACCTGTGCGAGGTGCGTCAGCGCATGATCTCGTGTTGAGGATTGACTAAGCTCACCTCAGGCTGTACGGCGCAATCGATCCCTTCGCCCAGTGTGGCGTCTTGATGGCCGCCAACATAGCCATCTCCGGGGAACGCGGAAGGATCGAACGAGCAGTACGGATGATCATCAAGCCATGCAGGCCGGCATGCAGAACCATCCTGGAGGGGCCATAAGTTTGGCGGTGTCTGCATAGAACTTACGCCTGCAGCTGCGTGCTGTGTCGCAATGTACGTTTCCTGGGGACAGGTCGGAGCCGTGATTGAAGTAGTCTGCATCCACGCAGCAAGTTCCTCCATGTCGTGCGCGCCCACGCTCCTCCCTACGTCAGGCGGTGGCGGGTCGGTTATGAGGTAGTAGGGGTATGATTGGGAATATTGCCTTTCCGCCTCCGCCTGTCTGATGATGAGAGGGGAGTATGGTGCGCGAAACTGTTGATATTGTTGCAGCTAGTGTTGTCCGGTGAGTAGCCAGTAAGACCGTGGGTGAAGACGGAAATAATTCACCATTTGCCCGATCAGCAGATACAGCGTCTGGAGGCGGACATAATCGTGCATAAAATGGATTGGATGCTCCTGTGAGTGCTTCAGTATGATGCACGCGCGACGGAAGGGTTCAAAACCAGGAGCGCACCTCGTTTATATGAGCATTTTGATAAAGCTCCCGCACGAGAGTGCCCAACGCGTCATGCGTCTGCTGAACGAGGTATGAGACACTTCTGGTATAGTGATGTTCAGTACATTACTCACGTAGTCCATTTTCAAGATTAGTCTGGACGAAAGCGCTTGGTCAGACAGCGGGTTAATGAGGGAGAGTGTGAGGGAGAGTGTACGGGAGGGCGGGATCAAAGGCGGACAGTGCGTGGTTTGTGGTTTTGTGCAGAGGGCCGGGGCGCCTTCTTGTACAGTAAGCTGTGGGCAGCGGGCAAGCGGGCTCTGCGCGGATGCAGCTCGTGACATTCGTTGTTGAGTGGAGCCAATGGGACGCGTGGCCTCTCATCCGCGGAACAGCTGCTAGTCAGCGAGAACCGATCATAGTGGCTAGGCCGAGCCGCCACAGACGGTCTGGATACGGGGCAGAGCAGGAAGCAGCGCATTCGACCTGTTGTGGTATGCATCGATAGCCAGCCCGGTGCATATCGAGGGCAGACGAATCGATGCGTGCGTGGACCCTAAGTGGGTTTCAGGAGACTCTCCTGAAGAGGGAGTGCGTTCACAGCACGGCAGGCATTGAGGCTTGGGGACATAAGGTGGGGGGGCGTACCTTGTCGGAGGATACCCGTGCCGGCCGCGCGTTGGACAGATTGTGGTCGAGCCACAGCCGCCATGACTGTACGGTACGGTACCGCCGCTGACGGAGAATGCTTGCGAGAACAACTAGTTCCGCAATTCGCGAGTTTTACTCATGGGTTCACACCCAAAGCAGTAAAGTAACGAAGAACCTGTATATCGAAAACAGCTATAGTTGTAGAGCTCCGCCATTCTCGGGTGTGCGTGTCGGTGAAAGGAGTGAGAACTTGAATCAGGCCGGCACAGGCGGCACGTCAGTCGCCCTTCCGACGAACAGCTTCTGGCTATAGCTTGACATGCGCAGCGTCTTGGACTGCAATTGCACCTGCTGTGTCCGTCGAAATGAAGATGCGCATGGTGATGGAAGAAATGGGTCGAAGGTCGTCCACAAAGAAGGACATAGAGACTGCGCCTGACGGCGGGCGGCTGCCGACGAATGCCAAGAGCACGGACCAAGTAAGGCTCCAACCATTTCATTTATTTACTGTGTATAAACGGTTGTTTTCGTTTACCTTTCAATTTATTTACCCATTTTCCCGTAAACGGTCATAAACCAGTTGTACACAGTAAATAAATGGTTGCTGGTACCACCATACCAGCAAGGCCAAAGACCAGGAGACAAGGTATCAGAGGGCCATGTAGAGGGCAGGTCAAGGTCGTTGACCGTTGGTCGACTCCTGCCTTGCTTCTGCCTGATCAATTGGCATCGACGGGGCCCGGCAGCTGACTTTCCTGTTCGGGAGCTTACCTCACCTTTCGGCGCTTATCTCACTGAGACGAAGCTTGGGAGTGAGCTTGATACTCATTGGCCTCCCAGCGACGATCATTGGTAGCAAGAAGTGTTATAAGTATACACTGATATGCAATGCTCCCAAATAGCCCTATGGAGTGTTTCTCGGAGTGATCTGCAACCTCACCTGTGGAACCATTTGTTTACCCTTTTTAAACTGTTTTCAAACGTTTATATACCCTTTCCGTATATTTTACGGTTTGGGATAAACATAAAGTAAATGGTTGGAGCCTTAGGACCAAGGCCGTGCGATCCTAGGAGAAGGGCGCGAACGTTGGTCAGTGAAGCTGACATGGGCGCGCGAACGCTTTTCACGGTCTGTAGGTGCAAATCAGGATGGGTCACGAGCGGACGTCTTTGTTGCAGTGGGAAGAGCTCGGCTGTGACTACTGTCGAGCGGAATTGGCATTAGCGTGCTCCTGGACCAGCATATCAACTCTACGAGATTGACTACACTGGGGAGTCCGTTGACAGTAATTCCCATAAGACACTAACGCTTCCTGGCCGTCCACCCTTTGAGGGTCGAGAGCATTGCGAACGAGGACCGCCCGGGAACTTCTTCGCGATTTACGAGATAACTCAGCCGTTCAGCGGTCGGTCATGGCGGCCAATCTCTGGAGAGGCTCGCTGATGAACTGCCCAAGTCTAAGAACCCTGGAGGGAGATGGCCTTGCACACGAGGGGATAAAAATGGTAAATGTAGTGTATGAAGGCACCGTATGTAGTAGTACATCGAGCGAATCCGAACGTCCGCGCCTATAGCGCATAACAGAACCTGTCCTATTGGGTTTTGAAAAACCTAGAAAACAAGTTAGGGCACGAAAATATCCCATTACTCAATGGTCCTGAGGCTTTCGATACGATTTCTTCACCGTCCTTATCCGACTTCCCAATCACTCGGAGGCCCGTCCCTTCTGTCTCCTCAAACAGACTCGTCTATTATGTCCTTAAGCCTGGAATGCATCTCGAGATATCATTAACCACACAGGATGGAGGTGGAGTTGGAGCCAGTCAAGATCGACTACCGGGCGGGTCGGATGTAGTTCACGACAAGGACGTGGGCTTGTCGTAGTCGTGGAAGCTAGACATGCGAGGCAGCTGGTAGATCGCGGTGGGAAGTATTGCGGCACAGGCAAACTGGCAAGTGATTGAGACGTACAGACGAGACGTGAACGGACTCGATTATCATTTGTGGGCCCCGGCCCGCTAGACCCGGTAGGGGCGGCGTGTGGCTTAAGTAAGAAGGGAATGCCACGTGGGCACTGCAGCCGCTGAGGGACAGCAGCGCCGGCATCGACGGCAGCTCAGGACGTCCAACATTGGCACTCACGCTCGCGCAATATATACTCACGCTCGAGCAGTCCCGGCAACGGTATCTGCTCTCTTGCGTGTACCAGGCCATGCACAGACGAGCATGAAGTCTGCCAGCTTTCTCCCGGTACCGCTGGACACTCCCGCTCGCGAGCCAGCGCGTCGCCGCGACGCCGTGTCGCGTAGGTTCCGCTTGCTCTTGTCTTTCGTCGTCCTCCTTGCGACATTCCAATGTTCGCGCGTGCTTCTGCAGGCTCACACTGATGATCACAGGCGAGCGGTGAATGTTCCTCTTGATGCAGCAGGCATACTCGAGAAGTGTAGTCTTCTCGAGACAAAACCAGGCCCTCCGCCGGACTTCTATGCGCGGACCCAGAACGACCGTTTCGTTAGCGGAACCAAGCCTACCCTTATCAAGGTCAGCCACACTCCGTACTACCTTGATGACGAAACCATGCCTCACCCGATCACTGGCAGAATGCTACCGTATGGACTGGCGAAGCGGACGGCTTCGAAGTCGTCCATGGGGATATTCTGCTAGATCGAGGGCTCATCAAACAGATCGGTGATATCAGTACCGGCTCGTACTCTGAAGATTTCGTGTACCACATTGACGCCCAAGGAAAATGGGTGTCCCCTGGGTACGAACACGGATTCAGATGCTCTCTGTCATGTGTTGATGTTAGGTCTACCGCAGGATCGTCGATCTACACAGTCACCTGTATGCTATCCTTCAAACGATCGGGAGTCTGCTACTAACATATTCCTTAGCGGAGTGTTGTCCGTTCCAGAGCTGTCAGGTGCTTCAGATGGCAACTCTCGGAAGGGACCTATTCTTCCAGTACGTTTGACTTCGACACGGCTCTTGGGTAGTGATGCGGGCTGATATTGCTCTTTTTCCCAGTGGTTGCGTGCCCTCGACGCTCTGAACACTCGCGACGAAGCCTACAGGCTGAGTATCTCTGGAGGTGTCACAGTAGGAATTATTCCCCTATCTTCTATATTGCCACGCTTATTGAGAATATCTCAGACTTCCTTGGTTCTCCCAGGATCTGCCAACGCCATCGGTGGGCAAGCTGCGGTCATCAAGCTGCGCCCAACGGCAGAACGCTCTCCTACTTCAATGCTGCTCGAGAACCCATACGAGAAGAACACAACGGTGTACGACCCTAAAGTGGCCGTTCGATTCCGACAGATGAAGTGAGTCGCTGCTCTATGTGACGCTTCCTATTTCACGCTGATGCCCCTTTAGGCATGCTTGTGGAGAGAATCCTGGTATGCATCTCTTCGGGACAGCGATTGGGTCTCTACTAATCTGTCACGACTCTTAGACAGGGTGTATTCCGGGACCCGGATGGATACAGCATGGGCGTTCCGTCAAGCGTATGTTCGATGCACCGCATTTCTCTTCTTCAATTGACGGTCCCTCTAGGTATGACAAGGCCCGCCAGATCAAGGAAGCGCAGGACGAATTCTGTACCAAAGCTACTCGCGGCGATTGGGCCGGACTCGGCGCATACCCCGAGGACCTCCAGTGGGAGGCGTTGGTTGACGTCCTTAGGGGACGTGTCAAGGTCCGCGCTCCCGTTAGCTGCTCCTGAACTCAATCTGATGTGAACTACTATGGCAGGTCCACACGCATTGTTACGAAACCGTCGACTTGGATGATCTAGTCAGAGTAAGTGCCAGAATGAAGCTTGCCTAGATACCAACCAGCTGACATCATGGTCGTGCGACTAGATCACGAACGAGTTCAAGTTCTCGATTGCCGCGTTCCACCATGCACATGAGACGTATCTCGTTCCGGACACACTGAAATCTGCCTATGGCGAGCCTACAGTCTTACCTAGCTGTCTTGTACGACGACCGCTTACCTTTGGCAATGCACAGGCCATCCGCCTGCTGCAGCCCTCTTCGCTTCACACGGCAGATACAAGCGCGAGGCGTATCGCGGTTCAGAGTTTGCGCCTCGCATACTCGCCGACAATGGCATCCAGGTCGTTCTGAAGGTCCGCCACCCGCACACGTTCCTCAATGCTCAGGATACTCACAGCCTACATGAATGTCCCAGTCGGACCATCCGGTGCTCGATTCGCGTTTCCTTCTCTGGGAGGCCCAACAAGCATACTACCACGGCCTTCCGCACAATCTCGCTCTCGCGGCCGTGACCACTACGCCAGCGACTATTATGGGCCAGAGTCACCGGATCGGCTTCCTCAAAGAAGGTGTGTACAATTCCTCTAGATTCGCCTTCGGGTCAAACATAATTGACCGCACCATAGGATACGACGCCGACGTTGTCCTGTGGGACAGCCACCCGCTCGCTCTGGGGGCAACGCCCCAGCAAGTCTGGATCGACGGTGTCCCACAGCTCGTCCACCCCGCCATCCTCTCTGCAAAGCCCAGTGCACTCCAAAGTCTCCCGAAAGTGCCGAATTTCGACAAGGAGGCCGAGGAGGTGCTTCAATACGACGGCCTGCCCCCGCTCGAGCCCAAAGCGTCGCTTGGGGAGGGGCGCACAGTCGTGTTTGCGAATGTCAGCAATGTCTTCGTTCGCTCGGCTACCGCTCCTGGTGTCCGACAACTCCCAACCGCAGTCGAGACTGGTACTGAAGGTCAGGAGGGACAACGAGTTAGCGTGATCGTCCGCGCCGGGAAAATCACTTGCATAGGCGCGCCTGACAGCGTGTGTGTCCGGGATGCGCTCTACGCGTCCTATGGCGCAGATGAGCCTGTCGACGTCTTCGATCTTGAGGGCGGGTCAATCTCGCCCGGGTTGACGACCTTCGGATCCCATCTTGGCTTAGAGGAGATCCAGGGTGAGGCATCGACTAAGGACGGGGTCGCTCCCGACGCGCTGAACCGAGGTGTGCCCAGTATTGCTGGGGGAAGTGGGGCGCTAGTGAGGGCTGTGGATGGTTTGGTTTTCGCGACGAGAAACGCATAGTATGTTCTTTTCCCACACCGTCGTGCACCGAGAAGGGGCTAACAATGCGGTCTAGCACTGCATACCGCGCAGGCGTCACCACTGGGATTGTCTCCCCTCAATCCAACGGCTTCTTCTCAGGCCTCAATACTGCTTTCTCCCTCGCGACGCCACATAAGCTTGCAGATGGGGCGATCGTACAACGGGCAGGAGCGGTGCACGTCTCAATCCACCTCGGCTCTCAGCAGAGCGTCAGCACCCAGATCGCAGCCCTCCGTCATCTGCTGCTCAACCAGACTGATGGAGACCTCGGGGAGTGGTTCGATGGGATCAGGAAAGGGAACGCGACGCTTGTCGTTGATGCTGAGAGCGCAGACGTGATTGCGACGGTGGTCGAGCTCAAGAAGGAGGTCGAGTCTGTCTTGGGCCTCGCACAGGGTAATACGCTGAAGGTGACGATCGCCGGGGGGAAGGAAGCGCATCTCCTGGCGCAGGAGCTTGGCAATGCAGGAGTGGGCGTGATACTAACGGAGCCGAGGCCGTTCCCAAAGCAATGGGAGGCGCGAAGGATGTAAGTGCGCATGGATGCTCAGCGAACAAGGGTTGCTGACGCATCAGTAACGCATGCGTGCAGCCTCCCTGGGCCGCCGCTATCGCACAAGAGTCAGATCGTAACGCTAGTGGAGCATAACGTCACTGTTGGCCTGGGCACCGTTGATGCTGACAAGGCTCGGAATATCCGCTTCGATGCAGGCTGGGTATAGATTCATTCACATCTTTGTTCTTTCGAAGATACTGACTCAGTGACGGTAATGTAGGCGGCTCTGGAGTCGGACAAGGCGATCTCGAAGGCCGAGGCTATTGCCCTCGTATCGACGAATGTTGAGAAGCTGCTGGGGATCGAGCGCGACGAGGACGAGGTTGAGCTTGTCGCAACCAGCGGAGGAGACTTACTCGAGTTCAGCAAGGTCATCGGGGTAATCTCACCGAGGCGAGGCGTTGTCGACGTCTTCTGAAACCAATAGTTTGTAGCATTACAGGATATTGAATGCGCAATTCTGTGTGCGTAACTACACATGCGCACCGTGCCTTCTCGTATCTGAGCCGCAGTGCTTCACAGGCATGCGGCTCAGACCGTCGCTGGCGGAGTCTCCGCCCTTAGCCCGGCGTATGCGACGTTGAGCGAACGGTCCACCAGACGTTGGGAACTGACGTATTCAATTGCTTCTTCTTCGACAGCAACGTCACAATTTCGGAAAATGATCTCGTGAGAAAGAGACTGGACGGTAGTGTCTTCAACGCGGCCAACCTCTTGAAGGTGGATGAGAAACCTGGATAACAGAATGGCCGTTATGCTGGGGCAGATGCCGGACTGGGTGAGCGTCAGTCATGAGGGACACAGCGGCTGGCAACGCAAGGGTTGGTGAAATAGGTCATGGAGCTGACAGATTCCGAGGAACTGAAGGGTAGTATCTGGAGTCCATATAAAGTCCTAGCACAAATACAGGGGACTTTCCGCGCCGTTTTTGCATGCTTACCGATACGAGGGTGAAAATCATATGCATGAGGTCTAGGGGGATTAGAACGCTGGTCAGGTCGAACGTAGCGTCAGGGCGCCACCATTCCATGTAATCAGCAACCGATCCGGTTCCTCACAGGAAGTACACCATTCCTTAGACATTAAATCAACACCATTTAATGATAGGTGTACACATTATGTTGATACCATCATGTAGTAGGACGCCTGAATATGAGTTGATCGAGCTGGAAGCGTTTTGACGGGCCTGGCGGAGAAGCTTCCTTTGTCCATACATGGCACGCCAGGTGACAGAGACGACGATGAGGCATGACCGAGATGTTATGATACCTAACCACGCGTAGATCAATCCAATCCGCTGCGGGCAGTCATGACCGTTAAAAACATACCACTACAGCAGACGGGTCAGTGAGTGGGTACAAGAACAAAAGTGAAAGCATACGCCTGCTGAAACTCTCGGGGCTGGATCGGGCCCGAAAAATCGACCTGACGGGATACAAGGTTGTGAAGCAGGACACTGCTCTACTAGCTATGTAGCACGAGTGATACGTACATATAGGTTGATGACCACTGTAACCATGTACAGGACGAAAACAGCCGCGGCTGTCAGACACTTTTGTACACGGCCGCTACATGTTCGTATACTGGAAACAGCTGAATAGTGCGGTGAGCGGGCGACTTCGACTTCTGGTACGGCAACTCGGAGGGACACTGACCAGCCCAGATCACCATGTCACCTTTATCAGCAACGATGTTAAGATATGTCCAAAAAGGTGAGTTACTAGAGGGCTCTATTTGAACATGTCGCATATCGAAGATTATAAAGGCGATCGGCACCTCTGCAATCCTTGCATCAGTGATGCGGCTCGAATGGCAGTTCGCTAGATGCTCACCAAATGTGGTGAGAAGAAAACCACGCTTGGAACTATCACGCTGTACAAGAGCTGTAGGTATCTGTTCAGTAGGAATAGTACAGATACGAGTGCCTTGCTTTTCCAGAACAGCTCAATCTCGCTGTCCATCGTGACAAGATGCTCGTACGTGTACAGCACTAAGGTACGGCATGATGAATTGTTATCGAAAGCGTGGGTAGAGATAGCAGCGCACAGACCTCCGCTGGCCAGCCATATGCAAGAGATGGTGATGCTAGGAATAAGGGGTCCCGGCAGTCCCCTAAGCCAAAGCTCTCGCATAGTTACACAATGCTCTTACTCAGATCATAGCCTGAGTGCCCACAAGGGGTCGATGACGAGAATGGCGAAGGTGGGACACGGCGAGGGGATGGAGGCTAGCTGGCCCGTGTTCGGACACAAAATAATGAGAGCTCGCGAAAACTGCGTGATCCTGTCACAGCTTACGTACAATGTGATGATGTACTACAGTAGACTATGAATTGAATTCATGGCAAGGCTCTTCCATAATCCTCTGACATGATGCGAGGCATTCCCCGCTGCGCCCCTTCAACACTGCACTTAGCTATTACCCCGAATCCCGATGATAGGCTAGAAGCTGCCGCGCGAGATATGCTCGATCCGCAGCAGAACCACCTTACTATGATCATGATAAGGATGAACGTATCTCGGCATGAAAACCAAATCCAAGAGCTCGAAAAGGACGTAGAGCTCACGGAAGGTTTCCTTACCGATTTTGAGCTAGCGGAAGGCCCTTGGTCCGACGATACGCCAAAGCGGAACGATATTGTGACTGTCAGTGATTCATGATTCACGTATTAATGTGGAACACATCTGATCCTTGCAGCATACAGGGAACCTTCAGCGTCATGGCGTCCTCTCTGCTAGAGACCATTGCACAGGCAACATCGGAGGGCGAATCAGTGGCGGAGTCCGTTCTTCATCTTCCAGAGCACGATGTAGAATCCTTCGCCTGGGTTTTCCTCTTCGTCGTCTACAAATCCGCCCTCGACATAGCAAACGATGGCATAAATGCCCTCAAAGAGGATTTGCAGAATGAGTTCCGAGCGCTCTTTCCTGGAATATCACCGTCTACTATCCTAGAGGGCAGGGGTAAGCTGCGGCTGCGGGGCGCTACCGAATGCATCATGCAGTACCTCCGGAACAACGTCAAGGATGAGCTTTTCGCCGATCTTCTTGAGTTCATCTTCGACCCGGTACTGATACCGCGCCTGCCGCAACGGAAGCCAGCACGTACCTCCTTCCATGACGCTTTTTTGAAGAATCGGCCCGCGTACGAGCCACCCAGACCCGAGCCCCTCGCCCACAAGATCCTCTTGGACGCATTCAATCTGTACCTTAAACTCGACGACATTTCGAAGGGCGATGATGTTTCGAAGGGCGATGATGTTTCGAAGGGCGATGATGTTTCGAAGGGCGATGATGTTTCGAAGGGCGATGATGTTTCGAAGGGCGATGATGTTTCGAAGGGCGATGATGTTTCGAAGGGCGATGATGTTTCGAAGGGCAATGAAGCTACAGAAAGTGATGCATCCGATTAGTCTCAATGTGAATATGTACTAGTACGTTCTGTTTGCGGACCAGACCTGGTCATCCCAATTGTACTTGCGACGATTAGCTATAGCATGAATGTCTTATGAGGACGAGCACTAGCGTCTGGTCTACATATTGCAAGCCCTCGGCCGTCCGACGGATAACAGTGATATAATTCGCAACGCTAACATCCATCTAGAAGAGTGAAGGGTTCAACCAGTGGGGATAGGCAGCGCCCGCTAGCCGATGTTCTGCTTATATAACGATAGCGCTCAGAGATAGTCTTCCGCTCTCATCTACCCGACCTTGATGTTCGACTCCGATGAGGCGCTCTCGAGGATCTTGGTGGTATAATGGGACTTCCAAGGGTTTGTTCCCCTCATAGGCAGGATAAACCATAGTACAGATGTGTAAGAAGTATTATATGCATTGTGAATTGTTTCGCTTGGCCGAGATGAGTATGGCTCACTCCAGTATAGGACATGAAGGCACAGCGACCACTACCACTCTGGTCGGTGGCTGAGAGGCGCTTAATCCTCTCCCCCTTCCCAGTGGGCACGGCGCTCACATTCTTTTGCGCTCTGAGCGCGTTTTGAGCCTGGGATGCTCACTCAAAAGTTGTAGGGAATGATGTGTAGAACATATTCTCTCGTGTAGATTTTTGATTCTTACAATTTCTCGAGAACTAGGCTCCAACTTGAAAATCGCCACGAGAGAACTTGTGCATTCAATGTCTAAGATACCCCTTCACCACTCTGCTCGGTCATAATGGGAGGTTTCGGGGAGAGATCTTTCTTTTACACGTTGACCGCCCTTCAGCCACCAGCATTCCATTTGGCCGTCTTGCCGTCTAATCAAGCCGTAGATTATCATGCAATTCGAGCCCCGAGGCATAAGCGAAGGCCGGGCGCTCTGACGCGCGCCTCCTCGGTTAACCCGGGCGCTGCCTATCCCCACAACCAGGCAGCCCAACCAGTAGTCATGTGCACAAACGTGGCCTTCTGTTTTGCGACGGGGTACCATCGAACACATGCAATCATACCATCTGCAGCCCGCTCGCCGTCCATGAATACTTAGATGCGTCCTTGTCTCCGCGCGATAGACCCCTGAGAACTCTGCTGCTCGCCCACACCCGCCCCCATACTCAAGAGGCCCACCACGACGCTTGCGCCATCCTGTATCCTCTTCTGCCTCTCGTACAGGACCTGCACCGCCTTGCTCGCCTCGCTCGCGAGCTCGTCGTCCGAGCGCGAGTCTGGTATCGGCGGCGCGTCGAGTGGGAGAGCCCCAACTCCCGACTGGCGAAGGTGCTCGACGAGTGCTAGCAGCGCCTGCTTCAGCGTGGCGATGTCGGCTGTACCATCCCACTCTTTAGCGACTTCATGGCTCGAACCCGCACGTCGTAAGTAGTCGACATACCTGCCGTCTGTACGGGACTCGTCCCATGATGATAGGCATGCTCGCTGCAGCAGCCCATTCGCTCGTTGACCTCATAGGATTCAGGGTAGGACAACATCGGACACTCACATGCCGGCTAGTGCACTACGTGCGAGTCCCTGGACGCGAGCAACATGCGCCTGGGCGAGCTGGATGTTCTGTTTGAACACCTCCGGCGAATTGAGGTCTGCGCCTTGCAGCCCACCGCCTTGCGCACCCAGAGACACCTGTGACGAAAACGACGGAGGCAAACCCAAGCCTCCTGAGACGTCGAAGTTCAGAGAAGGGAAGCTGGGGAGACTCGACGGATAGAACGGTTGCTGCTGCATTAGCTCTCTGTTATCGACTTAAACACGGTGGTGGAAGAGATGAGAAATGATAGTATACAGTGCACAGCTAGTCCAGACAATACGATACACAAGACGCTCACGCCAAGTACATCACGCAGACACCATGTCATCCAGACACCATGACGCATACATTGGGTCATAAGCATATGCAGTACATGCGCGATACATGAAGGAGCCGACTATCAGCCGTTTTGGGAGGGTCAATACAAGCCCAGGTCGACCACAGGGAGAACGCGAAGCACTTAGAGCTTCTGCGCGTTCGCGACAGAGAGTGTCTGGCCCGCAGCCTTGGCCCGCTTGCGGAGCATCTGTGTCGACTTCGCACCACGGATGCCTCCACCCCACTGGCGGCGTTGCTCATCGTACTTGTCAGTGCTACACGGCAACAACTCAGTACAACGCGTACACGAAAGCGAGAGATAGCGCGTACAAGTTAGCCTTGGCGGCACTGACGAGGGTGGCGAGCTCGCGCTGGTCCTCGCTCTTGACGTCCTGGAGGACGAGGACAGCAGCGGTCTTCTTGTGGACGACCGTGCCGAGGCGGGCCTTGCCCTTGACGATGACGTAGGGGACACCCATCTTGCGGCAGAGGGCGGGAAGGAAGACAACCAGCTCAATGGGGTCGACGTCGTGGGCGATGACGACAAGCGACGCCTTCTTGGCCTCAATGAGGGCGACGGCGTGATTGAGACCGTACTTCACGAACAAAGGCTTACTTCTCCGGCT